GTCTGTGGAGACCTCGTTTTTTGGCTACTCAGCCACTTAATTCTTTCCCCATGTTTGAGGAAATCAAACATTCTGTGAATTTGGGTGGCAGGTGAGAATTGACTTCCCACTAAAGATGATTTAAAGGTAAGATGTTGTCTCTGATTCTTGTGAAGAAGACCATGTGATCTAAACTCAGACGTTATCTGACTTTCAATCGGGAGCACATGGCACCAGCCAGCAGGGACTGTTCAGCTCTGTCCTGGTGTCTGAGTCATGCAGGGCCTCGTCCCGGGAAGGGGGGCTGCTCCTGCTGGAGTCCTTCCCTACCTGCCCGCCATCCCCTGGTTTCTGGCCATTTTCTCATGGCTCTCCAGTCTTCCCAACAACTCTGTGGGCTGCCTGTTCCCTTTCCAGCAAACTCCTTCTCTACTGAAGTAGCCAGAATTGTTTTTAATTTTTGTAACTGGCCACCCAGACCAGGACAAGGCCCACCTGAACTCAGTTCACTCCGGGAGACTGAATTTCTCTTTCCCTTTATATTAACTCAGTGGTGCTTCCGTTCCCAAAGGTCAGGATCCTGAATTAGGAAGGCTCCCAGGTCTCCTGCTTCAGCTTGCCACCCAGCGCCCAAATTCCCTCCCCAGCACCCTGATCCGCTCCAACGACCACAACTCATTTCTTCGCTGGGTCATTGACTCCATTGTAAGGAAGTCTTTGGTATCCATCACTTTGTTCCTCTCAATGGAAAACTGTGATATTTCCTATCATATTGAGGTTCTTTCGTGCATTTTGAAAGTGAAGTAAATGTACTAAATAAAGATGACACTGATGTGAGGTGATAGGGCACATCCCAGGGAAAGTGAGCCTGCAGCCCAGGTGAGGGGGGTGCAGGGATTTGAGAGTCAATAGTTAAGGCCTCACTGGGGAGCAGGGAGGGGGGAAGGGATGCAAAACAATTTGCAGAAAAATGCAAACTAAGCACTGAGGGGCACAAAAAACATCTGGGCAGTGGTGGGGTCAGAATGAGGGAGAGGGTGAGGGTGAGAAATGGAGTGGGAGTGAGAGATGAGATCAGGGTGAGGAAGAGGAAGAAAGCCAGGGATGAAATAAAGGTCATCTGGCAAATGACCCGGCCTTTTTTTTTTTTTTTTTAATATATTTTATTGATTTTTTACAGAGAGGAAGAGAGAGAGATAGAGAGTTAGAAACATCGATGAGAGAGAATCATCGATCAGCTGCTTCTTGCACACCCCCTACTGGGGATGTGTCTGCAACCAAGGTAATACATACATGCCCTTGACCAGAATCGAACCCGGGACCTTTCAGTCCTCAGGCTTATGCTCTATCCACTGAGCCAAACCGGTTTTGGCTGACCCGGCCTTTTGACAGGCTTTTAAAAATGGCTGCATCTTTATCGTACAGGGCAACCCTCACTCAGAAGCCAGTGAGGAAGGGAAGGGAAGTGCATTCAGAAAGCGGTATGATTAGAGCACCAGGGCCGAAGGGTGAGAGGGTTTTAGGAAGACGAGGGTGTTTGGCAGGGCCAGGGCCTTAAGAAAGCCAGAACGGGAGGAGGAAAGGCTGTGGGTCTAGTAGAGCCAGGGCCTGGAGACCACAGAACTGGGGTCTGTGTGGTGACAGGAGCTCTGGGGTGTAGGAGGGAGGGAGGGGGTGGCAGCAAGGACCCTGGAGTGCTGGCAAGTGGAGGGAGAGGGACACTGAGCAGCCAGAGGGAGGATGGAGGGGAGCAGAGGCTGAAGGTGCGGGTGAGGGCTGGGAGGAGGAGAGCCACTGGGCCAATATCTGAGGTGCAGAAAGGAGGCTGGTGCGACTGAGGAGGGGAAGGGTGTAAAAAATTATGCTGAGGCAGGGAGATGAGGGAGATCACACAAAACAAGTGTTACCTTCTCCATGATACATGAACCCGACAGGTCTTTGGGATATCCGGACACCTGGGTCAAACGTTCTCTGCGGACACCATGACTCCCCAGAGGGCAACCTGAAACCGCGGAGGCCCAGAGCTTCGGAAGGAAGGGAGGGAGGGGGTTTTATAAAGAGGAGGCAGAGCCATCTGAGACAACCATGCACATTCAGGGTTAGGAGCCCTGGGCTCTGCCCTGCTCTTACGGGCTGTGCTGGTGGTGCAGGTCCATGCACTTTGGGGAACTAACAGAGAAGGCAACGTTATTTTTGTCAGCAGAGACACCACTGCCCAGAAACAAAAAGAATGTAGGGTGTGTGTGTGTGTGTATGGGGGAGTGGAGGTGAGGGGAATGGAGGTGGAGTGGGGGGGGGGGGTTAAGGTAATCAAATAATCCACAGCAATTCCCTTGGTCCTTGGGCATCTTGACATTCTCATTTGAAAAGGGGCGAGTTAGGATCTGAGAACTTACTTTTCACCAAATGCCAAAACTGTACAGGGCTTCCTGGTCGAGCCGCTCCCTGTGAGCTCTGTGATCAGCCATCCAGGAAGTTAGCACCTGAGGTGCCCTTATCCAGGGCTTTATGTAAAGGGACTTAGGGGTGGGTAATGGTAGTATTCATTTTCAGATTTCCATTTGGGTCTTTAAGATTAGTTATGGTGATCCATCTTCTCTAAAATTTGCATTTCTCTTTCTGCTGTTTCCTGTGGCTGGAGTTGGTCTCATGGAATGCAAACCAGAGTGATAAACAGATGAAGTGGGTGAGGGAGCCTGATCCTGGTTGGATGTGAGGTCTCCAGGGTCTGGTGACTGTGCCGAGGTTCGTTCCTTGCCCACCAGCATCTAGATCCGTGTGGCACAAAAAGTGAGTTCACTTTAAAAACCGTTAGATGCCTATGTGGGCTACATGGGGTGACTTGCCTTTTATAACTGAGGGCTACACACACTTTGCCCCCTTTTGTATTCCCTCTTCAGTCTCAGTTTTTATTACGTCTTTCTTCTGGGAGTCATTACAGAACTTTTATTCTGAAGGCTTTTCTAGAGTTTTGCCTGCTAATCTGTAGGGCATTCCAACATGGAGCGCCACAGTTTGGAATTTTGTTGAGAAGAGATTGGGCACAGAGGAGCCGAGAGAGTGGACAAACCCCCGAAGCATGGTGCTAGGGCCAGCACGGGTAAGCACCCCAATTCCCAGGCCCCACCCGGGCCAGGGCCTAGGAGACTACAGTCAGTGACTTACGTGGGTGAACTAGCTCCTTCTCATTCTTAGGGAGGGTCACTGCCTAGTGAATTGGGGGCAGGAGTGGAACCTGGAGCCAGTGTCCTGCCTCTGACCACGGCATGCCTCCCTTTGAAGGGCACTGGGCACTGTGTGTGTGACACCCTTGTTCCCCGCGGCCTGTTTTAAACCAACACTGATGTATGGTTGGTCCTTGGTCCGCACCGTTGCCAGTATCTCCATCTCCTTTCTTCTTTGCCTCCTCCCGACTCCCCTGCGTTTTCTGGATGCCCTGAACCGCCATGCCAATCAACTTGTTTGTCTCAATATTTGTGCAAGTCTAGAGACATGAAACTCAGATTGCCTCATCACCGGGCTGCCTTACCAGAGATCCGTATCTTGTTTATTTACCAAGAGGACAGATATATTTGGAACCCTCGGCATTGCTCTGCAGTAGGTGGAGGGAGGAGGCTGCTGCTTCTCAGCAGCTTGTGGCCAACCTCCAAGGTCCTGGGACATGCTCAGGGCAGACGGTGAAGTTCAGGTTTGAGGCAGCGCGATGGAGCCAGACCCAGAACTGGACAGAAGCTTCCCTTCCATCCAGCAGCCGCAGTGCTTGGAAGAGACTAAAGGAGAAGACAGTTTGTAAACCTGTAACGGGTGTCTTACAGCAAACGACTCCCCTCCCCAAAGGACCTTTCGGGGCATCTTTGTAGGCAAGGAAGTGTAACCTTCACGGGCAGGCAGCAAATTACATTTATTTGGTGATTTACCTGTCTGTGACCAAATGCTAGGCAAGCTAAGGGACAGCTTCCCTGGCCCTCACATTCCGGAGGTGTATGCCTCCCCTCTTGCCTGGGTGAGAGGGCCCGAGTGCTCCCTCTGGTTTGGTCCAATCTCAAGCGATGACCGTCGCAGCTCTGTGTCTCTCCTACCCTCTGCCATTCTGGAGATTCCTTCCACGGGGCTGATGGACCTTGACCTCTGGACATTAGCTGGCCCTGAGCCCACCAGTTAGTCCCAGGCCTTCCTGAAACAGTGAAGGCAGCCCCGGGCTGATATTTTACGTGGATCCCAATTGCACTTGGCATTGTGCCCAGGGAAGTAGCTCATCTGGGACACGGAAGGTGAAGTGACTCACCCCGTGCGCCTCCTGTGAATCCAACTGAAGGCTCTGTGGTGGAGAGGCAGAGGAGCCGGGGTCCTGGACACCGGGCTGGGTGTCTTTAGGAGGCAAGGACGCTGAGTGGCCGAGGAAGGCTCTGGGGATGCAGCACTGTTTCCTGGGTGCGCATGTCTGTGAGGGAGAAGCCCTCTCCCCGTATGGATGGAGCGCTGTGCAGAGGACTGCGGGTGCCCCGTGCTCTGTGTGGGACCCGGATGCGTGTTCCCGTCACACGGCCTTGCTTCCCCTGCCCCTGAGGTAACAGTTCCCAGGCTGCCAGGGAGAGGAGAGCTGTCTAAACCGGGCCCCAATTGCATGAGGCCACTGCCTTTTCCACTTATTTCAGACTCACAAGGCAGGATTCATCCTTAAAGCTCTGAAGTTTGGTAACGATTCACAGGCATCTGTGAGCTGTAGGTGCCCACAGGAAAGCAGGAAGCGCCCCTTGCCAACTCCGAGGCTTGAACCTGTGGCCCAGGGTTCTTGCCCGGTTGTCATTAAATCGGAAGGAAAATGGGGACAGATGTGTATGTGCGAGCCTTCCAGAGAGTGCGCTTCCTGAGAGACATGAGCAGTCCATCCCCACACGAACAGGAACAAGAGGTAACGGCTTCTTCACTCAGCAGCAGACTAGCAGCATCCTTCCGCACCCCCGGGGTCCGCATCGGGCAGCCCCTTCCGCGGTGGCGGAGGGCGTGCCTGATCCGCACCGCTACAACTCGTCCATCATGGCCAGCAAGTCATCCCCCTTGCTGGCGCTCCACCTTGGCTGGTCCTTGACATCAAACTCCCCCATGATCCGAGCCAGCTCTTGGTTCCTTTGCTGGTCCTGTTTGAGAAAAGAGACATGCAGTTGGTATTTCATTTTTATCCCACCGCTGTGATACATTTCAGCTCACCATACTGATGAGAGAAGACGGTATGGCCTTGGAAGGTCAGAGTTATTACAGGGTGAGGAGGGGAATGAGATTTGGTGTGCAGTCCCCCCGACACACCTGTGTAGCTTGTATGTTGACAACTTCATGGGATAACTCTTCTGGCCTGGTTAGCGCTGCTTGTCTGTGTGAGATGGTAGAGAAATAGGTCAAAGGTTAGAGTTCTCTCCCTGCCAGCGTGACAGACTGGCACTTGATAAATTTGCAACCTATTTTTGTCTTTTCTGCCTCATCTCCTGCCATTTCCCTCCAACTTTGTTTCCTCTTTGCCCAACCGATGCCCCCCGCACTCCAGAAAGTCACATTCTTTTATGTCTCTGTGCCTTTGCACATACTAAACTCTGCCAAGAATGTTTCTCCCTTCCTCTACTTGGCAAATTCCAAGACCCAGCTCAGACGCCAACTCTTTCAATCACACTTATGACCCGGCGCTGACATGACCTATGTACACATTCGTTCTCCTACCACGCGGGGAGCTCCCGAGGGCAGGCCCTTGGTCACGCGCTCCAGCACTTACCATAGTAACCTGCCTCACAGACATACACAAAAGAAGTCAGCTCAACGGATAGGGAAGTAGAGGGCACCCCCATCCCCACCCCCAAATATTTGGTTGTGAGGAGGATCGCATGAGATAATGAATGCAAAAGTGCTCTGTGAACTGTAAAGCGCTATAAATCGCAGTGAGTTACTACTGCTGCTGGTTTTGGGGAGGCCATCTAATCTCAGAGATATCATTCTTTGACCTCCCTCCTATGGCTTCTAAACAGACGTCCCTGGACCTGATTATAATATCTCGACTTCTAATACTTCTCGTTCGGCTGTGCTGTGAACGAATCCGGCAGGTTCCGGCTGCCTCACACTGGGGGGCTCTTCTTCAACCAGGTTACTGAATTTGCCGGCATGCCATCTGCGGTCTTTACACTTGTATTTATCAGTGTCGCTGGTTTATGAGTGGCCGCGTTTTTGGCTTAGCACACTCCGGATTTTTATATAAGTAAGTCTTTAAAGAAACGGATTTAGAACATACTCTTCCTCTTCGTCGGTGGTAAAGAGATTCAACCGGAATCCTGGTTCAGAGCCGCTGGGTTTCGTAATCTCCATTCCTCCCATCAGCCTGGCCAAGAAATTCAGCTCTTCTTTAGCAAGAGGGTTGGGAGCAATGCTTTGCTGCAGGAAAAATGCCATGATTTTTAGCCACATGAAAGTGATCATGTTTCCTGCTGAGACCCAGAGACCCAGGGTGGTATTATAGACCAAGGCAAAGCAATAACTATTTACATTATTTCTGGGAAGATCTGGGCCCAAATAAAGCATAGGAAACAGGCTTCACCAGCAGAGGAACCATCTGCGTCAGAAGCAGAGGGACTCTCGCAGAGCAGCAAACCAGACGCTTTCACGCTTTCAGGACGAGTGGAAGGCCCCAGGGAGTGGAAGGCCCACTGTCCTCAAACTACCTCCCTCTTTGAAGAACAACACTGCTTGCTTCCTCTTGGGTCAGTTTGGTTCCCTCCAACTGAGGAGGGCCCAGGTCCCCGGGGCACTCATTGCCTAGGAGCTACCACACTGCCCTCTGGTGGTGACCATGGTGAACACACCCTGCGTCCATTCCCTCCTCTCGGCCTTGCCCGCTTCCACCTTCCCCCTTCTAACATGGCTCTCTAACCCAGCCTTCCCCTGCTCTGCCTCTTCTGGCTTCTGCCGCCAGTTATTTAAAACACAGTTCTCTTCTCACCTCTTCCTTGCTTGAAATAAACCCCTCCATCTCCTGCCTAAATGACAAAGTCCAAATTGTTTACGCTCCTTCCTAAGCAGGCCCGGGACAGGTGTCCCTATACAGCCGAACCTCTGGCTACCTGCCTCAGATGCTGCCTCCCTGCTGCCCCAACACTGTGCTCTCCTGCCCCTTGGTGCCTTTGCCCAAACTGTCACCTGGCCTGCATGCCCATTTCTCCTTCGGCTGCTGAGTATCTTACCCTATCTGTCCTCTCTAAAGCTTCACTTGAATGTCACTCCCTCTGAACAGCTTCCCTGATTCGGGCCCCTGCTCCCAGCCCACAGGACAGAACACACAGCACTTCATTCAGAACCTCCACTGAGTGAAAGTTATTTGTTCTGTCGCTGTCTTCCCAGCAATACACGCCCCTTCAGGGTGAGACCCCATCTAAACCAGCTTTGTGTCCCTGGGTACCCAGCCCGTAGAAGTAGTTCAACGAGTGTTTTCCGAATAACGAAATATTCCATGATTTGTCCTGTAGCTAGCTGGTAGTTAGTGTAGTGAGAATTTTTAAAGATGAAATTCAGAGAACCTAAAACCCACGTTGAACTTAGCTGTCACTATAAAGGGGAGCACTGAAAAGGGACGTTTTAATGATCGGGGTGCACACAGGTACTGAGGTAGCAGCCCCGGACCTGATGGCACTGGTTTGGTGCTAATTTCACATGTCCTGCTGTGTGGTTCCACTTAATTATGGTGATTGAGCCAAGCCTAAAATTACCTAATTAGTCAGATCACTGGAGGTCTCCATGGGAAACTACAATTAAGAATTCGTGTCCTTAGAAGGCTGATGGAGAAGATTGCAAACAATGAGGGAAATGTTGGCTAGCTTTGAAATCCAGAGTTCCCACCCTTCTCCCCATCTGGACTTTTGCATCTAGAAGTAAGCTCAGAAGATAAATACAGGAGGCAGAGGCTCACCTGTGTCTGTGAAGCTAAGTTCTTTGATGTTCCAGACGTATGGGTTTCCATAGGCCGGTTCACACTGTACCTGGTTGTCAACAGAAAACTGTTAAAATGTTGTTTAGCCCTTTAAACTGACTTCCTTCTATCCCCTAAGTATAGCTCATGGCTTTTTTTTAAAAAAAATAAAATTTTTATTGATTTCAGAGAGGAAGGGAGAGAGACAGAAACATCAATGATGAGAGAGAATCATTGATTGGCTGCCCCCTGCACGCCACACACTGGGGATTGAGCCTGCAACCCTGTGCCCTGACTGGGAATCGAACCATGACCTCCTGGTTCAGGGGTAGATGCTCGATCACTGAGCCACGCTAGCTGGGCTAGCTCGCAGCTTTTATTTTGAGATTTTTAAAAGCATCCAGAAAGGTGCTGAGAGAACAGAATATAAGTAAGTGCTTGTCAACTGCTCAAACTTTACTTTTTCCCCCAAAGAAAAAATACCTGGGAAGCTGTGTGGAAGTATCTCACCTTTCTGAATCTCCAGGGCCACTTAAATTATTTATCTTTTAAAAATATATTTTTATTGATTTCAGAGAGGAAAGGAGAGAGAGAGAGAGAGAGAGAGAGAGAGAGAGAGAGAGAGAGAGAGAGAGAGAGACATCACTGATGAGAATTGTTGATTGGCTGCCTTCTGCATGCCCCCATTGGGGATCAAGCATGCAACCTGGGCATGTGCCCTTGACCAAAATCAAACCTGGGACCCTTCAGTCCACAGGCTGATGCTCTACTCACTGAGCCAAACCAGATGGGGCTTAAAATCATTTATTTTTTAAACCTGTAGAGTGACCTGATGTCTGGAAATCTTAGGTGCCTGTGACAGTGGGAGGGCGTGGCATGCATTGTGTCTGAGGGGAAATCACTGCAGTCGTCAGCAGGATTTCACGGTAGAAGTCAGGCTGGCTTTCTAAATGAGGTGACTCCCTTGGACTTGAACTCATTCAGGGAGGGAGGCTTTGCTTACATATTCGTTCCTAGTTTTAGGACTCGGTCTCCATAAACTTCAAAAGAGCCTTCCTTTGGTGCGATGACATAGTTTCCACCGTGCGGGAATTTCACCCTCCTCACTTCTTCGCCTTTGCTGTTGAACATCCTGCAATACAAAGTAAGACATGATGGATGCTCTCCGCGCCTGGCAGTCCTGGAGGCGTCTCTATTCTTTGTGCTGTGGGACAAAAAGGAGTTCGTGTGCTCTTTCTAGATAAAGGTGCTGGTCGTGGTAATAATATTGATACAATAATATTTATTGAGTGCATGTCATGTGCCAGGTGCTATGGAGGCATGTGAGAGCATCATTATCTTATTCATCCTCGGGTCTGAGAGGACAAATGGTGAGACCATTTAATAGATGAGGAAATGAATGCTGGGGGTGGGGTGGTTTGCCGTGAGTGTCTGCCAAGTGGCAGAGCTGGGACTAGAACCTGACCCCCTAACTCACGTGCTTTACTGAGGAAAGGAAGGGCCCACCGAGCCGCATTCTGTGTGGAGGCCCACATACTGGTTTCACAGAAGCCCAAGCAACGGTCTGACAATTACTGTTGAGAATTCACCTGATGAGTCCGGGAACTTCAGTCCCCCAGGGAACAGGCCCAGTCACTGGCAACACAAAGCGACCATTAGAATTCTGAACTTTGTCCTTTAGGAATATGGACACCTGGAAAGAAAAGACACTTATTGTCATTTCCCTGGTACATTCTCATAGACGTGAGCACCGTGAGGATGGGAAGTGTGCGGTGAGTTGGGAATGTTACCTTGTGAGTTGTAACAATAAGAGGAAAACTCACCATAGCTAACATCTGCAGAATTATAGTGTTTTTACAAACAAAACTTCGTTTGAGCCTCAGAACATTTAGGTGAGGCGCATTACTCCATCTCCCCCCTTTTTAGCAATTATTATTTTAAAGTATGTTTTCATTGATTTTCAGAGAGAGAGAGAAGGGAGAGCTAGAGAGAGAGAAACATCGATGAGAGAAACACCAATTGGCTGCCTCTTACATGCCAATCCCCCTCCCCCAAATCGAGACCATAAACATTTTGCAATTAATCAATGTTGTTGGATCTTAGCTTCCTTATCTGTGAAATAAGATGAACTTGAAAGTCCTTTCACACTCCGAGACTATATTTGTAATATCATCAAGGATATTGTAAGCCAGGCAGTGAAAATGCAGAGTGACAAGAATTTGTAAGCTGCCAGTTTAGGCTCTGACAGTGGACTGTCAGGGTACGTCTTAGCAGGGCCACCCTTCAGCTCTGGGTTTTTGGTAAGTTATACACCTTCCAGTTGGCCCCCGATCTTCTCCGTAGCCATGTTCCTCCATGACCCCATGCTCCAGCTGAGCTCAATTGCCTGCAGCATAACCAACGCCTATTTGATATTGCTACTTGCATGCCTAATAGGCATGACAGTTGCTCAGGACAAAAACTTAGTATTTGTTCTTTATTCTTCTTTCTCTCATTCCCCACATCTGACCTCTCTCTCTCCGTTATTGAATTTATTGGGGTGGCATTGGTTAACAAAATTATACAGGTTTCAGGTGCACAATTCTATTTACTACACATCATCTCTACACTGTATGGTGTGTGGACCACTCCAAATCAAGTCTCTATCACAATTTACCCCCCTACAGGCATCTGATCTCTTAGTCAGTCTTATTCATCTTTCTCCGAAGGTACTAGTGTATCTTAAATGTGAACATGTCTCATTGTCTTTACTGGTAGCATCCAATCCAAGAACTTTCATTTTATCTAATTTCCACAACAGTTTTCCAACTGCTGTCTTACCTCTGCCCTTACCTCATGTTCTGGAAGTTCGTCTTCCAGAACATGAATCAGATCACCCTAAAATGCTTCAAATCTTTTCTTCACTTTTAGAATAAACTCCTTACTAGGGTAAAGGTAAGACAACTGTAGGGACCAGTTTGTATATAACTGGCATCTTCTATGATGAGTCAGTGACCATGCTGTACAGGTTGTAAACTTGGACCATAGCTCTGGCGTTGACATGCTTCTTTCATGATGGCTTCCTCTTTGTCCAAGGCACATTGATGATTTTCCCATCCAAGGGCCTTCATACTTGCTGCCATTTCCATTTAGATGCCCTTTCCTGAGATCTCTTTTGTTAGTCACAGTTTCAATTAAAATGTTTGTTCTCAGCCCTAATTGATTTGGCTCAGTGGATAGAGCATTGGCCTGAGGACTGAAGAGTCCTGGGTTCAATTCCACTCAAGGACACATGCCAGGGTTTTGGGCTCCGTCTCCAGTGCGGGGCGTGCAAGAGGCAGACAATCAATGATTCTCTCTTATCATTGATGTTTCTATTTCTCTCTCCCTCTCCTTTCCTCACTGAAATCAATAAAAATATATTTTTAAAAAGTCTGTTCTCACCGAAACCGGTTTGGCTCAGTGGATAGAGCATCAGCCTGTGGACTGAAAGGTCCCAGGTTTGATTCTGGTCAAGGGCATGTACCTTGGTTGTGGGCACATCCCCAGTAGGGGGTGTGCAAGAGGCAGCTGATCGATGATTCTCTCTCATTGATGTTTCTCTCTATCCCTCTCTCTTTCTCTCTGTAAAAAATCAATAAAATATATTAAAAAAAAAGTCTGTTCTCAGAAAGGCTGTAATTGACTCTATCATCTAAGGATGTGCTATCCAGTATAGTAACTACTAGTCAATGTGGCTATTAAAATTAAAATTAAATGGAAAATTCAGTTTCTCAGTCACACCAGCCTCGTGTGGCTGAAGACAGCCATACTGCCCAACAGGGATATAGGCCTTTTCCATCACAACAGAAGGCTCTAGTGCACAGTGCTGGTCTGACCAACATCCCATCCCAGTTGCCCTCTATGACTGTATCCTATGTTGCCGTCTTCCTAGAAGTGGTCAGAACCAGAATATTATTGACTTGTCCTCTCTGTTTCTTCCCGCGAGCAGAGAACCCCCTTAAGGCAGGGCCTCCTTCTTACTCACTTACTTATCTACAATGCTGAAAACAGTGCCTGGCATAGAGTAGGCACTTAGGAAACATTTGTTAGACTGGTTTTCCAAGCATGGAACATTTCCGAGTGGCGTGGATTGTGGAGTGGAGATATAAGGAACATTCCAGGACAAGGTGACGATGTTTTCCAACAACGGGAGAAATGGAAAGAACACAAGGAAAGTGCATGGTGGAAAGATGTATGAATGGGAAGAGAGAGCGGGAGAGGGTGGGTGACCTGCGGAGGTAACTGGAGGAGTTCTGGAGGGCTGAGAGGGGTTGCTCAGGATTCCAAATGGAAGTGCTCTTTGGGCAGGGCCTGGGCCGCATTAGAGCACTCCAGTGACTCGTGATATTGCAGAAAGCTCTGGTGATCAGAGGAGGAGTTTTGGTTAAACAATGAACCAGGAGATGTTAAAGGAGAGCTGTGTTTTCTTCATTTAGTTAGTTGGTTTTGCTAGCAAATCTAAAAACTATCAAGACTGCTGGAAACAGAGAAAATCTGTAAGGCGATCCCAAATTGCAGCCGAGCTGAATACCATTCAAGACCAGACTTGGAAAACCAGCCAAATGCTACAGATCAGTGGCTGAATTCTGCCAGGAGCTGGGAATCCTATTTCTCTTGATGAATGTTCTGATGTTTCATTGCTTGCCCATTTTAGCAATTAAAGCTTAATGTATTTTGCGGTTTAATGTATTTTAATATTTTTGTTATAGACTTATTATTAAGAGTGTCTTTTCATTACAATTAATTTGATCTTGTCAGACTTGAGAAGTCATTATGGCTGCTGCTATGTCCCTACAGCGCATAAAATAACATCCACGCGTGCAGGCTTGATAACATGATGCAGAGTTTCTAACAGTTTAAAGCACTGCAAAACTTAATCATATTTGTACTTTCCTATTTTTTATTTTAATCAATGACTATTCGAGATCTTAATTTATACTGATGCTATTATTGCTCCATCCATAGCAAATATAATTTTTCATGAGGATTAATAATAAAATTGGCCTCAGAGTTGAAATCTATTTGTCTTTCCCAGACCACGGAAGGGAAGTAACAATCAGGGCTAGACACATTCTAGTTCTTCTTTTTCTTTGAATTCTGTTTTGTGGGCATGTTACACATGCATATGGACAAAATTCAAAGGTTCAAAGGGATACAATGGAACCTGACTCTCTTGTACCCCCCAGGGCAACCACTGTGACCAGTTTCTTGCCCATCCTCCCAGAAGCACGCTATACTATGCACATACATACACATTACATGCACTGCATCAGTGAATCCTCCCAACAAATGCTAAGTGGTCACCATCAGTGCTGACTCAAACACGAGAGCGTTGGACCCCAGAGCCTGGGATCCTTTTGCCGTATCAGCCATCTTTCCCACATCATTGTGTTACATGATGGGAAGGAACAAAGTCATGTCCAAGAGAGACAGGTCCCACATTCAGAAGCTCAGAAATAGGTTTTTAAAAGTCAGACATGACAGGAGGAGGCAGCATCAATTGGGAGGCAGCAGCCCACAAGGAGGATGAGGGCCTGGCCAGGCTGGTGGCAACAGGAATGGAAAGAGGGCACGGACATGGAAAAGGCAGACTCTGGGGGCCTCAGAGGCAATTAGATGGAGATCAGAGAGGGGAATCCTGGCCAGTGCTGCTCAGTGGTCAGAGTGTCAGCCTCACACTAAGAGTTGCGGGTTCTATTCTCAGTCAAGGGCTCGGACCTGGATTACAGGTTTGATCCTGGCCCTGGTTGGGGTGTGTACTGGAGGCAGCCAATTGATGTCTGCCTATCTCTTACCTTCCTCCCCTTCCTCCCTTCCACTCTCTCTAGAAATCAATGGGGAAAAATATTCTTGGGTGAAGAAAGAAAGAAAGAAAGAAAGGAAAACAGACCAGAGAAGGGGAACCACAGGCGGAGCTCTCGTTCTGAGAGAAGTGAGTGAAGGAATGAGTTGCTCTCAAAAGAAATCAAGAAGTTCAGGCAGGACTTGAATTTTGGAGGTGAGTTTAGGTACAGACACGAAACTGTAGGCACCAGTGGGCATCCCTGTGGAGAGTTTGAGGTGGAGATGCTGGTCTAGGTGGCAGGGCTGGGGCAGGGGGGCTGGAGGCTACACTCTGGGTGAAAGGGCTGGAAAGTGGGGAGGGAAGCGATTCCTAAAGAGCAGGTGAAGGGGAGAATGTTTGGAGACAGGAAGAGGGAGAGGAAGGGGTGAGAGGCATAGAGATGGAAAGGGTAAGGGAAGGCAGGATGGCAGAGTGCCCAACACCAGGGAAGGTGAGAGCTTCCTGACGGAGGGCAGCCTCTCTCAGCCTCAGACACTGCAGAGTCATTGGGACAACAGGTCTGGGGGAAGCTGTGCAATCAGATCAGGCTGGTGGCTTTGAGAGCACATGTCCTCTGGAGAAGGGAAAAAACCAAGGAACACAGGTAACTGGGAAGGAGTGGCAGTCTCATTGTCTTCCTCGGTCCATTTAAAAACTGCTGAGATTTGCATCAGAAAGTTGATCATTTGGGACAGCATGGAGGGACCTGGAGAGTACCATGCCAAGTGAAGTCAGTCAGTCAGGGAAAGCAAGTATCACATGATCTCACTCACATGTGGAATCTAAGTAACAAAGTAAACTGATGAACGAAAGAAAGGAAAACAGACCAGAGAAGGGGAACCACAGGCAGATCTAAAGACTCAAAACATGGAACAGAGTGCAGAACCCCAGAGGGAAGGCGGGGAGGGTGGGAAGTAATCAACCAAGGTCCTTGTGTGCACATATGCAAGGACCGTGGACACAGACAATGGGCGTGAGGTCCCGGGGTGGGGACAGGCTGGAGGGGGTCAATGGGGGGGTGGGGAAGGAGACGCATGTAATACTTTCAACAATTACAAATTATATTTTTTAAAAAAGGAAAAAAAAAGAAAAGAAAGTTGCTCATTATGGAGCCAAACACTGAAGACACCACTAACTGGGCAAGCTCAGCCCTTGCCTGCCGGCTGCGTGGCACCCCGTTTCCCCAGGACGGCAGTGGCAGGGTGCGCCTGGCCTGCTCTCACTCACCCGGATGTGCAGGTCCTGGAAGAAGGTGAGGAGCGTCTGCCGGATCAGCTGGAACTCCCCCGCAGAGAGGCACCCGTATACCTGCAGAGGCAAAGCAGCAAGAAGAGATTCACTTTCTAAAGTGGGAAGTGCAGACAGGCAGGGGTAGGTGGGTGCTCAGGGATGGCAGCCACAGCAAGGCGAGGCTGCTGGGGTGAGAAGGGCAGCAGGAGAGCCAGCACTGCCCCCTCACGGACCCCATCATGCCACACCCAGCAGGGCACACAGCCTCTCCTGTCCCCCGAAGACCCAGAGAAGCCATTCCCCACGATTTAGCAGCACATCCGCCACCAACCCCCTTTCTGAAAAGTTAGGAGAAAATGGTAGGCTCTGGATCATTGCTTTCCCAATTTTGAAGGCAACCGTTAAAAGGTCCTAAATGATAAAATGCCTCTTGTAAGACCAAAATGGATTCTTGTGAAATTTTTAGGGTTTTCTGGGAGAGTGGCAGGCTTGGCCATTCCTCATCCTGTTCTCTCTGCCATAGAATCGTTCCGTTCCTAACAGAGGAATGGGAGCAAGCATGGGGCTCCAAGGGGATAAACTGATGGTGTCTTACTTCAATCAGCTGCCGGAAAGTCTCATCCACTAGATGCAGGAGGGGTGGGTTGTCGTGGATTAATCCCTTGATGGCATCTAAATGGTTGTAAGTGACCAGCAACACATCCTTGGGACGGGGACACAGCAGTACTTGATATTTCAAAGCCATAGTCATCAGGTCATAGAGCTGCCGACCCATACACGGACAAAATAAATGGGGTCAGAAAAGCAGATGTCAGAACCTTCACACAATGAAGCAGTTAAGCATTGACTGAAAACCAGTACTGGGTATATCATACAGCTCAGGTGACGATATCACTTATCCCTCAAACCAAGATATTACAAAAAAATGTATGTTTTCATTGATTTTATAGAAAGAGGAAGGGCGAGAGAGAATTATCGATTGGCTGCCTCCTGCACATCCCATACTGGGGATCAAGCCTGCAACCCAGGCATGTGCTCTGTCTGGGAATCGAACTGGTGACCTCTCATTGCATGGGATAACGCTCAACCAACTGAGCCACACTAGCCGAGCAAACCAAGATACTTTTGAGAGGAAAAGGGGGGTGATATTAATAATTAAGCCAGAACAATAGAGTTAGACCAGGACATTCCTGGGCAAACCAGGATTTCTGGTCAGTTTATTACAGATGGAACATGTTTAAAACAATATTGGCAGCTGTGGGGTGCTGGAGTTGGAGAGAAAAATCCCGAATTCAAGCCCTCCATTGCCACCGAGTAGGTGAATGGGCCTGGTGAAGTCCTCCCATCTCTGTGAGCCTGAGTTTTTGTATCCATAAAAATAGTCTCAAATGCAGCTAGAGAAGTGCTCAGAGGGACAATTACAGCAGTAGATGGCTGCATTTCTCCAATCAACACCTAAGCTCTCACCTTAAGAAACTAGAAAAAGAGGGTCAAACTAAATTCAAACCAAGGAGATGAAAGGATAAGAAAGCTTGGAAGGGAGCTATTCGGGGTGGGGGTGGGGGTGGGGGTTGGGGGAGTGGGATGGGGTGAGGTGGGGGGGTGGAGAAAAGGAGAAACAATTGTAATAATCTGAGCAATAAAGATTTATTAAAAAAAAAAAAAAAAAGCTTGGAGCCGAAATCAGTGAAATGAAGAGTTGAAAAACAGTAGATAAAAACCAATAAAACCAAAAGTTGGTTTTTCACAAAGATCAACAAACCTTTAGCTAGATAACCGACAATTATTTACTTAGCCTGACCAAGAAAATAAGAGAGAACACTAAAATTACTAAAATTAGAAATGAAACAAAGGACATTACTACTGACTGATGGAAATGTTCTCTAATTAGATAGTGGTGATGGTTATGTAACATTATGAGTATAATAAAAACCACTGAATTGTATACTATTAAAGAATGAATTTTATGTCATATGAATTATGCCTTAATTTAAAAATGGCAAAAAGATATTACAAAACTAGCTGTGGAAAAGACATTAATGGATAAAGGGTTTTTGTCTTGGCTGGATGGCTCAGTCAGTTGGGGTGTCGTCCATGCACCAAAGGATTGCTAGTTCGATTCCTGGTCAGGGCACATGTGCAGGATGCCAACCCCAATCTCTGTAGGCTTGGCTCAGTCCTGGGCTGGGGATTGTGTGGGAGGCAGCCCATCAATGTTTCTCTTTCACATTGATATTTGTCTTTCTCTCTCAAATCAATAAAAACATATTTTAAAAATGTATGGGCTTAATTAAAAAAAAATCAGAATGCCCTAATAATTTGTCCCCCCAAAAGATATAGATGTCCCTGTTATAAGTAAAGGCTGAGCAGTTTTGAATTTGCTTCAAAAACTTCCTGGTTGTCAGAGCTGAGATTTGTCAAGAACAAAGCAGAACTGAAGTTTTAGGGTTGGTTAAGGTGTTCATAAATATGGGCATGAAGACCAGCGCTCTCTTTGGCAGGTGGAGTGACATAAACAATAGAGGGACGGGTGCGGATGATGTCTGAGGTCCTTTCCAACTCTGAAACTCAACAGCTAATATTTACAAGGCCATTTTTTTTTTATAAGGCACCATTGTGTACATCATCTCATTTGATTCCAGTCTACAATCATCCACCAAAGATACAAGACATGCAATCAAGGGGCTAGAGGCAACTGTTTGCTCACCTTATCCATGCTGGCCTGGTTCAGTCTCATAATGGAGGCATGAGCCAGGCGGTCATAGATAGTCCTGAGGGCCTTCTTGGAGTAGAGCTCTTGGGGTTTTAGCAATTCCTCTATAAAGCTTTTGTTGAACATGGTTAAGACGATGTCATGAAGAACTGTAGCGACAAGAGAGAATATACAGCTAAGCAAGGTACCGGAGGAAGCTTAATTCAGGAGCTGCTCTCTGTGTACAAATGGGATGGAGGAGCCAGCCTATGCAGAGTGGGATGCTGATGTGCTTGGTGAGATCTGCTCTCTGGGGAGAAAGCACATGGATGTTCCAATAGAAGGCAAGGATCAGAGTGCCTGAGGAGGCCGTCTCAGGGCAAACATAATGTGACAATGTACAAATGTGTCATGAGAGGTTACAAATCACGTAAATGCTTCTCTCACTTGGTGATAGGGGAAATGTTTCTTCTTTCTTTAAAAAATAGTCCTATAAACATTTTAGGTTAGATATTTTCCTTAACGCGAGAAACAACATCACTCTTATTGTTTGTTTAGGAAATCTATAAAATTTTTACTTAAAATTAAATTTTATAAAAATGGAACCAATAATGGTAAGTTGACTATTTTTGGCAAAACATTTTATGAAAATCGACAAGTCTACCCACTGGTTAGAAATTAAAATATTTATAATGTTTCTATAAGACATGTACTTCAGATCAGTACCATTTTAGAATGTCTTAATTTTTACATTTGATTTATAATGTTAATATTATACTGTAGTGTGATGTCTCAGACTATTGCTCAAATGGAAAACTTTCATCTAGTGAGAATAAAAGGTCCTAAGATGTGTGCAAACCAAAGTGTCTATAAATCTAGTCCTTCATTCACTCATTCATTAAGACATTTTTTGCTACACAAATATCATTATCATTTTTTGCTACACAAATATCATTAGTTGAGGGCTAGGAAAACCCTCAGGGACAAGAAATAGAAACAAGGATGGCTGAACACAGATTATTCTTAATGAAACCATGTATATTCTTGCCTAAAAAAAATATACATTTATAGAAATTAAAATTTGAAAGAAAACTGGGTTACTTAAAATAATTATACAAAATCAATTATTAATCATGAGTGATTATTACTAAAAGATACAAATGCCTCTTTCTTTTGCCACAAAAGGACACACAAGGCATTGGCGTGGCCATATATCATATCTAAGAGAGAAGGCAAGGTAGAGCATCGTGTGTGTGATTTCAGGCACCCTCTCTACCTTTAAGTAACTGATAGGAGTGCCCTGAAGGCTCAGCGTGTCAAAGAGCATTTTTTGGGGATGGGCAAGGGGCTGGTTGTATTTAAATCTTTATTTTTGAATTTATTGGGGTAACATTGGTTAATAACATTATAAAGGTTTCAGGTATACAATTCTGTATGTATTTAAATCTTAAATGGAAGAACTACAGAGAGAGAGGAGGAAGCGGGGGGGGGGGGGGGGAGGAAGGACCTTGACACAAAAGAACTAACACTTCTTACTGATGTGTTGAACTCACACTTGCCCTTTGGACTTGACTTTGGACTCCTTCCTATTAGTGAGGAAGAACCAAATCCATTCCAAAACAGGGTATCCCTCACTCCGACCAGTTCAACCCACCACAGCTTGCCCTTAATGCACACTAACATGTCCCAGTGTGGAGAGCTCAGAGACATAACTCTTCCAGACTTGCCTCATGCACAGCCTTTGACCTTTGACCAAAACAAGCAAGGACCTGCGGTACTGTAAAGGGGATTTCCTAACCTCTTTCCTACTGCAGCCTATATGAAATACAGGATTTGCAAGGAAACAGGTGCAACTGAAAACCCACACATGAGGCCTCCAAGGAGAGAGTCTGAACTTTCCACAGATTCTGTAGGCCAGGGAGGAGTGCCCAAGAGGAAGCACTCAAGGCAAAGAATCACACCCACTCTGGCTGTGTTAATGCTTATGGACCCCTGCCATTCACCTCGGTGCTGAGTGTTTCTATCTTTCAGCTCTTAGCAGGACCTAGGAAAATAGTTAACCCCCAAATAAGTCAGTGCTGGAAGAAAGAAAGTCTCGAGGAGGTTGGGGCCACTCTGGCAAAGCAAAATGAGGCCTTTCCCTCTGGGAAGGGAATAAGCTGTATGTCACCCCGGCTCTTTGCACAGGAATGTCCAAGAAGTTCACTGGCCGGAGAGAGGGTACAGAGGCCCTCTCCCTGTGGGCAGAGCAGCGACCACAAATGTCCCCAAGGAGAAAAAGGCAGTCCTAGGGTTGGGCCCCATACAATTCTTTGGGAAGAATGTGGGGGCCACAAAAGAATATGAGGGAACAAGCCTACATCTCACAACGTTTCACCTCGCACTTAGATGATGCAGGCCTACTATGTACCAGACACTGAGATAAACACCAGGACGCACAGGAAGGACATGCTGTCCTTCATCTGGAGAAGCAGTCCAGGTCATACTTCAGGTAAACCTGAGAAGGGGGTCTAACCACACCTGTCAGTCTATTCCAGTGTGAGTGTGCAGCAGTCCCAGGAGCTTTGCATCATTTCATGAGGCTGGAACGTTCTAGGAGACAGGTTTCATCAGGAAAAGACGAAGGCTAGGGAGTGGAGTGACTTTTTACAGGTGCATCCTGAGTTTAGATTATTAAGTTCATTTCCGCTCATTATTTTGGGGTGCTCAAGTTAAAATAAGCCCCAGTGACTCAGTTATGCATGCAAAAAGCCCTCAAAATCCACACTCCTCATCTGAAATTCTGCCACACATCAAGGGGTGGGCAAAACCTGCTCAAGAGAAGTGGTTGTGAAATGTGATAAAAGCACATCAAGCACTCCTATGGGGCTTTCTCTGAGCCTGGCCTGATGAAAACAACTGAGTATTTAATAAACCTCTGAGCATTGAGACCTCTGTTGTTAACGGGAACATGCAATTTGGAACCGAGGGTAAAAGAGAGATGCTATTACTTTTGGATGGTTACGATGCTTCAAATCCTTACCCTGTTCCATGCACTGGGCTTAGAACCTTCCATGCATTATCTCATTTAACAGCCCCCAAGACAACTCTGGATGATTATCCTTATTCTATCAAGGAGGAAAACTGAGTTTTAAAGAGAGGTTAAGTCCAAGGTCACACAGCTAGTGCTGGAGTTGAAATCAGAATGGGGCTGTTTGATTCTACTCCCCTTCCTCTTAAGTATTATATGTTATCTCCTCAGCTTACTCGGTGTGATGAGAGCATTTAAACTACTGAGGACGATGGCTGATGACATGCATACATTGCGCCCAAATGTCGAATGATGTCATGACACTTAAAGAGGAGAAAGCTAAGGCTTTGCTCTGAGGAACCGGCAAACTTTTCCAGGTTTGCTGCTGGTTGTAGGTGAAGGGGAAACGGAAGACCTGGCACGATAGGGCCATTCTGCATGCGTAATATCATGCCTTCTGCCCACAACCCTGGCAGCCATGCAGCCACATGCTTCCATTTTCCTCAGCTGCTCACCAGATCTCTCTGTGTGCTAAGGAGAATGGTTCAAGGAAGGTCACTCATGTTGAACCACAATTCTTTGGTAACATGATACTATCACAGAATTGCTTTAAGGACTACATTACAGGACAACCTACCCAGGAGTGTAACTACTGCCCCGGTTGTCCCCACAAAGCTTAGAAGATGAAGAGAGAAAAAGGTATACTTCAGGTGCAATATGGCCTTGTGCCCTAAGTTTGCTTGGTTTTTATCTTACATGCTATCTTTACATAAAAGGTTCAAATATATAACCAATGTCTTAGCTAAAGAGAAACTCATGACTATTTTCTTGAAAATAGTGAGAGTGGTCCCACTTTAACCCCACTGATAAAGGACTGGCTGGACTGTGGATGCAGACTGAATACATGCAACCCAGAGATAGCATACCTCGTTTTCTGTCCACCTCTGTCCATTCATCTACATGAAGCATACAAAAAGAAAACACCAGTTCATGAAGCAAACACATCATTTTCAAGGAGGCTTTAAAAATACCAATTCCAATGATCTATCTGGTCTATGAAACGTTGTCATGTTTGCATCAATGTCTAATGTGAATACACTACCTCCCGTGTGAAACTTTTAAAAGGATGATGGAGAAAGACGTCCCAAAAAAGCCGAAGAGGCTCTATCTTACAGAGAGTGGCCTAGGACGAGGGGAAACTCAGGTCGACTAGCTACCCTGGGGTTTGTCTTGAAAGGCTCAAGAAGACATCTTCTCTAAATGCCACCAGAATACGTATTATTCAAAATAAGGCTTTTGAAAAACCCCCACTGACTTCCACGAGGAAGAGTAATTCCAAGAACAGGTAGACAAAGGAGTTCCTTTTGTATTAAATAAGATTTCCCTTTCTAGAGTACAGACGGAACTGCTCAAATTAGAAAACATGAGATGTGCATTAAAAAGGAAAAAATGTCTATTTGTTGACTTCCAGGTAGAAAGAGGGGAGTAATGATGGGGCCACTTTAAAAAAAAAAAAAGGCTTGAAGGCAAAAGCAATCAGGGGACATCAAAAGGAAAGTAAGTAAGAAAAAATGTACTTGTCTAGAGAAATCTGTAAGAGCTAAGAACCTTTATGGGTTGAGACCTGGCTCTGCCATTTACTAGCTGTATAATTTCAAACTTGTTTAACCTCAGTTTCTTCATCTGTAAAATGGGATCATAACGGAACCTACCTCACAGGGTTGTTGTGAGGATGAAATATGAAACATTAAGCACTTAGGTGGCTTCTCTTTTAGTTCCTCTTTCTCTACTGAAGGACATTGGACACTACCCATAAAAAAGATGACTCCCCTCCCCGCTTTCTTTAGATTCTAGGGAGATTTCCATATAGAAAATCCACTGCCAGCTAAACAGAATTCTACACACACCCACATTTAAAAAAAACATCTTATAACTAATGGTCCCCCTTGAAAACATCTGCCACTAGATTGTAATTTCAAAGGTAACTTCTGCAGTTATAATAAAAAAACATACATGTGTCTTCAATGCACAATGCCAATAGTTCCTAAGAGACCAGTTCCTAAGAGAGCCAGTACCGAGCCCAACCTGGCTGCAAAGGGCTCCCTTTGTGAGATCAGACTCCTCTGGGAAAATCCACCGTCACAAGTGTTTGGAGAGAAAACACTGGGGAAGCAGCACCCAGAGGCAGGCCTTCTTAAAGCAGATACCAGCGTCTGTAGCTCAATGCCCACATCTGCCATCTTGCCGTGGCATTTATTTTACAAGTGGTCTTGCCTAACAGGCTGGTGGGAATTCAGAAAGGTGGAGTTGCGACCCTCATGAAGGTGTGTTTGGGAACACGGATGCTGCAAGGGGCTCCCCTACTCCAAGGGACAGGGACTTCGGCTGCTGACAGAACGAAGCTGGCAAGTGCACGCCCAGGGGCAGGAGGCCCTCGCACAGGCAACGAGGCTCGGCTCCAGCAGAGGTCTCTGCCGCGCTGTGTGCGCCTGGCTCCTGTCCACTTGAGGATCCAGGGGGAGTTAAATAATGTCCCATTTTCCCATCATTTCTCCAGAAGACTTGCTTGTGACAACCCCATTTTAGTTAAATGTTGAGTGGAGTGGGAGGCATGGCCAAGGCTACCCAGAGCTGCCTGTTCAATCGGAACTAGAAGAATAAAAACAGAACCTCAACCATTTGGTTGCTCAGCACTACACTGTGATCTTCATGTGCTGGAAAATTCAGTGAATGGCTCTATGCCTCAGTTTCCCCCTTCTGTAAGACGAGGAATGTAAACAGAATGTAATTGGGTTTTATTTGTGAGTATTTTTAAGAGGATGGGAAATGAGGCAAAGGGAGGTTTTATTATTGTCATTATTGCTTAAAATGTGGGACAACTTTCAATAGGCAACACTCAGAAGTTGCTCCATAGAGAGAGCACTTCCTTTCTGTTGAATGCTGAGCCAGAGGCTGGTTGTGGGGGGAACTGCACAATCTTTACTGGCCTGTGGGAGCAGGATGGCCTCCAGGAGACCACTTAGTTGTGTAAGATGATGAAAACATTTAGAAGAAACATGGTTTCCATTCAAAGCTTCAACAAAGACTAATTTACTGTGTCGGGTGTTTTATAGGTCTCCTCGCACAGGCATCTGTCACAGCAGCTTCTGCTTCCTGTAGCGACACCAGCTCTCAACTTTGAATCCCAAACTCTCCATCCTGCTTTTTCACTCTATCTTCTACAAGTCCCCATCAGCCAACCATGATACTCTTTATCATTTCTTTTAAAAAATCAGTTGGTAGCCGAAACCGGTTTGGCTCAGTGGATAGAGCGTCGGCCTGAGGACTGATAGGTCCCAGTTCAATTTCTGTCAAGGGCATGTACCTTGGTTGCGGGGCACATCCCCAGTTGGGGGTGTGCAGGAGGCAGCTGATCGATGTTTCTCTCTCATTGATATTTCTAACTATCTCTCTTCCTTCCTCTCTGTAAAAAAACCCCCAAAACAAATAAAATATATTTTTTAAAAATCAGTTGGTATATTGGATATATATATTTATATATATATTTCCAAAAACCTCTCCCTTTCCTCCTGACCTTCCTTCCAAGCACCACAAAGATTCTGGCACAGTAACCGTCAGATAGGGAAGTATAGTCAGTGCCTAAGAGTATGAGCTCTAGAGCCCGATGGCCTCGGTTCAGATTCTTTACTCTCTCTCTTACCAGCTATGTAACCCTGGGCAAACTAGTCTTAGTTTCCCCATCTGTAAAATGGGGATAGTAATAGTACCTACATGATGGGGATAAAGGTATTCAGGGAAGTCCTCAGTTCATGGTAAGTGCTTAATGTTTGTTGTTGTTGTTATGAAGCAGCTATGTCCTCTAGTTTTTAGAATCAATTACTGAACCATACTGATCAAAAGCATTACCTCCAGTGAATGTGCAGAAGGGCTGGATCATGCTCCACTCAGCATCTCATATGTCACCTGACCCTCATCCCAACCGTGGAAGGAATTAGTCTGTGAATGTGAATGACCAAAGCTGGCTGACACTCCATTAAGCTCTATCTAGCGAACCCCTAAGGACTACATCACCTGAAGGCAAAGAACCCAGTCCCTAGTATTCACAAGGTCTTGCCCAGACCTCCTCTTTAAAGACATATATTAAATACATACATTATCTCATTCAATCCTTAGGACTTTGCTATATAGTATGTATTATGATTCCCATTTTATGGAAAAAGAAACAGGCTTACAGAGGTTACATTCTAAGGTCGTACAACTAGTTAAATGGCAAAGCTGGAATTGGGACCCATATCTGTATGACTCCAGAGAGCATGCTCTTAATTGCTAGTTGACCCTGCCTTCCAAGATGTAGACTACCCATCTAAGAACTGACTGCCAGCTCACTAACACTATCCGCCCAAATGAAATCACACAACATAGGCGCCAAGGAAAACAGAACCTTCTAGAGGAAGAAGTGGCAATGTCATACAAAACAATGATCTTAAATAATCAGTTCAACATTTACTGAGCGTCAATTTATTCTGGTTTAGGTATACGAGGCGCTGGAGTACAAAGGTGAATAAGACAATCATGTGGGGGAGACACATACATAGACCAATACAGGGTAAAAGGGTCAGTGATAAGGTAGGTAGAGAGACACGTACGGTGTTATGGAGTATGTGCACGTGGGAAAGGAAAGAAATCTTAAGCAGAATAACGCAGGACAAAAGGAGAGTTACTAGCACAGAAGTGGGAGGTTTGGGGTTAGAATGGAGATTACTAGCATGGAAACAGGAGTGAACATGCTTTAAACGGAGTCCCACAAGCAGTTTAGTATTAATATACAAACTAGGAGGGCAGGCAGGCAGTGGTGGGAGGTGGGACTTCAGAGGTGGACAGAAATCACATCAGGGAGGGTCCTGAAATGTCCTGCCAAGGTCTTGGCCTCTGCTCAGATGGCAGGGGAAAGCTGACAAAGCGTTTTAAGTAGCAGGCACCATGGACAGATTCACATTTCAAAAGGCTCACTGGCAACAGGGTATGAAATGAATGGAGGGAATGTGCTATAGGGAGCTCTTTTTCTCTCTTTATGAATGGACTTGGATCAATTGCACAGACCCAATAGTGAATACCTGAATATGTATGCTTAATGTCAACTGAGCATACAGATGCTGTTGAAAGGAATAAATGTTTCAATTGTGACCATGTCAGTTACCTTTATATCAACTTTTCTTCCTCTACCTTGAAATATAATATGTAATCTTAGGAAAGCTGGTGAAAGCAATTGTTGGTTCAGAAGGGAGGAAAAGAGGGAGAGAAAAAGGATGGCAGAGTATTCTGGGTGGCCATTTCTCTGGGGATTAGATGGGATGTATATGGGAGACAGATTTTACACTTTAGAAACTGTCATATAATTATTTCCACAATTGTATTTTCTTCCAACAACTGGATGGGAAAGAATTATACTTTTCTATGTTTTCTAATTTATCTATGTTATCTCAGGACCTCACCTTTCTAGAAATAGCTTCTGCAATGAGTAAGACTGGCTTCCAGTTTATAAAGGAAGATACCACACAGAGGAATGGAGGGTCAGAGTCTGTCCCATGCAGGGGAAGAGGATGCTTGGACCAGCAAAGAGAATGACACCAGGTATTTGGGAGGGACCGGTAGCCAAGAGAGATTGGGAAATCACCTCGCCAATTTGAGGGGAGGAGGGAATTGGGGGATGGGGCATGAGGTACCCTAATAATATCCAATGAGGGTATTAACTCCCTCTGCTGTGAAAAGAACTTTTGGGGAATTTGACTCCTGAGGGGCCCTGACTGGATGGGCCTGTGGACTAGTGAGCAGGGTCCCAGTTATAAGAGTGCAATGTGCAGGGGTGTTGGTCTTTCTATAACGGGGTTGGCTGTGCAGGCCGGGCGTCTCTCACCTCTGCGGGCCTTGTCTCCCGGGATGTTCTGGGCCCGCAGCCGCTGGTCCAGGATGTAAAGCATCTCCCCGCCCAAGTTCAAGAAGAGCAGCGGCAGCGTCCTCACCGACATGATGCCGAAGGCACGGAGAGCTGGCGAAGAGACCCAAAGCTGGGCAGCCAGAGACCTGGAGGCCCGACCACCGCGTCTTCGTAACCTGGTTGTTAGGGCAACGCAGCGGACGGCAGAACGAGCCAATCAGCAGGCCCTTTGTTGGGAGGCGCCCGGGGGAGGACGCTTATTGGGCGGGGTGCCCGAGACCTACGAGGCGGATTGGTCCGAGCCGGAGGCGGCTCCGGTTTTGACTTTCCGCAGCTGTGCGGAGGAGCGAGGGCTGGGCCGGGCCACGCTGGTGGGCGACAGGAGCTGGTGCCGAGGAACATGACACCCCTCACCCAGCAGGTGCCCGAGAACGAGGACAACCCAGGCGAATCTTGTCTCCGAGCCGAGGGTGCGACTGCGCAGTCGCTTAGAGGCGGAGCTTCCTTTTTCTTACATTGGAAAGGACACCCTGCTCACCGGGTTGCTGAAGAATCAATGAGATCATGTCAAGTGCCATGAAAACACTAATGGTAAGATTGTTCTTTTACATGGGGCAAAGGTCAGAAGCCCTTGATTTGCATTTCCTCCCCAATGCCACTTGGAGTGGAGCCTCTGGTCTATGTCCCCCGAAGCGATGTGCTGGGGACTCCCAAGCGCCTGTCCTTCCAGCTGCTAAGCAGCTTCCCATCCTTCACCCCCGACCTGTGTTCCAGGATCACCTTTCCTTCAGCTGCGGCACATTTTTAAGTTGATGAGCAACCATTTTTGTAAAATTTCAATACTTGTAAGACCTAATCCCCTCCAGCCATTTGGACTTGAAACCTGAGCCTTGGCTTCCAACTCTATCGCCCTGGGTCCTATTATCAGTCACCAAGTTCTGCTTTTCTCACCAAAATCTTCTTCCTATTTTCCTGTATTTCTTTCTCTGCATTGCTAAGTTCCTCCATATTACTGCTCCTTTCTCTCCTCCAGGCATACTGACTGCTAGGCTGAATTTCAGAAGACACTACTTTCAACATGACATATCCCTTCGGCGGCTTCCTGCTATTTGATAAGATGGCCTTCAGGGCCCTTCACTGTCTCCAGCTACCTTTCTCGAGTCATCTACACTTCCCTGGCCTTTTCACACAGCAGCTGCTGTGGTCTCACCTCCATTGAGAGACCATCTGGATGACAGGGAGTTGTGCGTGTGTGAGGTGCTTTGAGTGTGTCCTGCCTGATGTGTGAGGGCAGGGACTCTGCCTCAGACAACCCTTGGATCCGAGAGCTGAATGACAATGAATGAACTCCTCCTCAGGCCACAAAGAGTCCCACCTCCTATTATTTTTCAAGACAGAAAGATAAAACTTGAACAAAATTTATTGGTTTTCCTTGATTGCCTCTGGTTCAGTTTGGGAAGAGCTTATTTGGTTCATCTGGTGTTGTTTCTGGGCAGCTGCTGCTGCTTTTAAGGCCCTTTTTTGCTTCTTTAGCTTTTGAGTCTCCTGGTAAACCTGGAGATGACAGAGAAAAGACTTTGTAATTCTTATGTAAAACCTATGACTGGGAGCAAATGGGCTGGGAACTGCCTCCCCCAGCTGGTCAACCCAGCTTTTCTCCATGGGGTTAAGGCCTTGGCGCCAGTTCCATGCCTTTATCAGAAAGAGACAACCCCTCCTTTCTGCCTTTTCCACCACAGTCCCAGAAGCAGCAATCTGGACTCATACCCGAATGCACAAAGACTTCTTGGCCACCCAGCGGCGGTGGGCTCTTCGGTAGTACATAGGGGGGAAGATGTACTCAATCCCCAGGTCCTTGCATGTCTTCTCAAAGACTTTGTAGTTGGTCTTCCGGAGGTTTTTGAGCATCTTTTGCCTCTGGTCAATGCTCATCATCAGATAGCGCTTGTGAGCTTTGTCCTGTAAAAAGGTTGGTATCCCTTTCAGTATTATATAAATAAATACTGCTACTTTATAGTAATAAAGGATAGTAGTTTATCTCACTGAAGTCTCCCAACAATCTCCTGCAAATACTAGTGTAACTCTGAGGTAGGTATTGTTATTGATATTCCCATTTTACAGATGGGAAAATAAAGGCTCAACAATGCTATCAGGTCTTGAATACTGATATACTCGTCTCACTCTAAAACTCATGCTCTTTCCCTACATTACACTACTCACTCAGCCTCTCCACAGCTCAGCAAACTTTCAGATGGAGTGGAGAGGAGGGAAGAACTTTCATTTTTCTCGGAGACCCCTACCCACAGCCAGGTACTGCTCCATGAGAAAATTTGGTGTTCCACACTCTAGAACAAAACTGGGACATCCAACGAACAGGCTCAACCAGCTTCCAGAGAACACTGAGATGCCAGCCTGGAGCTGGACTGGTCTGTATTCACAAATTGTGTTTATTAAAAATACTAGCAACTGCCGAAACGGGTTTGGCTCAGTGGATAGTGTCGGCCTGTGGACTGAAAGGTCCCGGGTTTGATTCCGGTCAAGGGCATGTACCTTGGTTGTGGGCACATCCCCAGTAGGGGTGTGCAAGAGGCAGATGATTGATGATTCTCTCTCATCGATGTTTCTTTTTTTATTTTTTTAATTAAATTATTATCTGTGTACATATTTTAACATTGCCCCCCCCCCATATATACCCTCCCTCCCCAGGGTTTTGTGTCCATTGGTTGTACTTATATGCATGTATGTATACAAGTCCTTCGGTTGATCTATTATCTCATCGATGTTTCTAACTCTCTATTCCTCTCTCTTCCTCTGTAAAAAATCAATAAAATATAAATATATAAAAAAAAAATACTAGCAACTGCCTAATTACAGCAGCTCTGTGCCCGACACTGCGCTGAGATATGGTATAATGGTTAAGAATATGGACCGTGGAGTCAGACCACTTAGTTTCAAGTCCTAGCTCTCATTTCCTAGTGCTGTGCCTTGAGAATAACTTAACCACTCCATGCCTTGATTATTCCTCTGTAGAGTGGGATAGAAAAATGGATATAAAGATTAAATGAGCTAATGCATGTAAAATATTTAGGAAAAAGCCTAAATACTTTATTTGCATCATGTTGGCTGCTTTTATTTCATACTAGAGGCCCAATGCATGAAAATTCGTCCAAGAGTAGGCCTTCCTTCCTCTGGCTGTTGGCACCAGCTCCCCTCTGGCACCTGGGACCCAGGACCCGGGCTGCTTCCCTCCTCCAGCCGCCAGCAGGCACCTGGGACCTGGACTGGCTTCCCTCCGGCCTTGGCTTGGTCAGGAAGGATGTCTGGAATGATGTTCGGAAGACATCTGGTCTAATTAGCATATTACCCTTTTATTATTATAGTTAGTCCTTGTAATCCTGTCAATATATATTATGATCCCCATTTTATGGATAGAACTGAGTGTGACATGTAAAATAATTTTCCCAGAATCACCTAATTAATTAAGTGGAAGTGGCAGAGCTTGGATTTGAACCCAGAGCAATTGGACTTTATTCATGCATTCAACAAATATTTACTGAGTATCCAATAGGTGCCAGACACTGTGACCATGCTCTAAAGTTTGTGTTGTTGACCGTTGGTGACAATCAGCATAGCCCTGAAAGGCTTCCATTTCTCTGCTGGAGGCAGAAAGGAAATGTTTTCCTCACTGAGGAGTGGGCACTCTGGTGCTATAGCCTCCTGGCATCTTAAGCCAACTCTTAGGACCCAGAGCCCTTTACCTCGTAGACTCCTTTGGCCCAGTTGCTGGTGTTTAGCTGTGAGCAATGCTCAAGGCTTACCTTTCGATGTTTCTGCATGTGTGCTTCATAATTCTGGATCTTGACAGTCAAGGCAACAACTGAAACCACAAACCACAGAGGATGAGAGCTGGGCACAGAGGAAGGAACGGCCGGCCCGGGCCTGGAGCCTGGGTTATGTATTAATAACTCAAGGAATAACAATCACCAAGGTTTTTGTACAGCTCTCTGTAATTCCCAAACACTCTGACTTTTAAGATCTCAAAAAAAGATTTTGAATTCTCTTTGCTTTAGCAAGCAAAGCCTAAGGAAGAGAAGCTCCTTAATCCTCAAACCATAGCAAATAGCATTTTTACAGTAAAACTTTAGAGCATTCCTATTAAATCCAGGAATTCCTTTAGGATGCATGCTATCATGGCTAATGATTCGACACTGCACTGGAGGTCCTAGCCAATGCAATAAGATGAAATTCCCAAACTGCCAAGGGTCTACTCCTTGCCTCTCCCCTCCCAGCTACCACCCTTATCTATGTTTTTAACTAATGAGTTTTCAGAATTATCAACTGCCACTCATCTCCTAAAGCCCCAGAAAATCCTTCCTCAGGTATGCTCTTGTTTGATTCCTGCAACGATGGGCAGAGGCAAAAGCAGAAGGTAACCCCAAGGAGAGGCTGTAACTATGGTAGGCTCTTTCTGTGCACACACTGCGTTCTGGGAGCACTCAGGGTAGTGGGAACCTTGGCTCTGACCACATGGTCCCTTCACACCATCTTAGCTGCAGAGTGGAGAGAGGGAAAGACAAAGAGGGAGAGAGGGAGAGACATTTGGGTTCCTGAGGAATCTTGCCTGAGTTCACAGAGTTATGAGGCAGGACCTGGGCACTGACTCCAACATCACACAGCTCAGGATACACAGTTTTCATTACCCATGGTCCTTCCTGTCTCTCCTTTAATAAGACACGTCTAATCCTTATGTACTTGCAGATGAGGGCCCTGGATCAAGTGCCAGCTAGCAGCCTCCCTCCCCTCTGCCCCCGCTCCCCAGGGCCCCCGAACCAACTTCGAGCCTCCAGGGAGCTGGTGTCCTCGGGGTTTGCCACAACCTTGTTCATCAATTGTTCTTTCTTGACTTTTAGCTTCTCCTTCTGTTGAAGATAGAGAGAATTTATGAAGTCTGCTACCCAATCATAAGAATTGGTCCTCACACCCCAAGGCCATGGGCTTCGGTCATGGCAACGAGGCCATAAAGCTCAGGGCCTGACTTCACTATGCCACCAGGGCCTGGCCTCTGGCCAACCACATGGCTATTCACATCTAGGTGAGCCCAAGGCCAAGGCTACTGACAGGAGAAATGGCTTGTTTGATGAATGTCCCTAAAGCTTGCTCATTCATCCAGACATCAGATCTTTATTGAGCACCTATTGTTTGTCAGGTGCTATGGGTGTAATGGGGATAAGACTCTCCCTGCCCTTGAGATGCTCAGTCTCAAGGTATAATATTAGCAAGCAGACACAGAATGACATTGGTGTAAGTGCTGCTACTTGAAAAGCATGGGAGGGGAGGTGTTACCAGGATAGGAGGGAGTGTCAGAGGAGAGGACTGAGGAAGGCCAAGGTTTGGCAATGCCACTCACCTGATTCCCCATTTCCAAGGACAAGAGTCTTTTCACGACATCATCAACCCTGTGGAAAAGTCATAGCAAAGAGAGAAAGATGTTGGGGTAGAGGGGAAAAGGGAAGCAATGCTGTTTTCATTTTAGTTGGCAAAGCAAGGATGATTAAAAACTTCTTTTACAACAAATGAGTCTCTTTGGAAGTTGGAAGTCATTTCCCACAGATTAGAAGCCAACATGCATCTGACCTTGGGCTGAGAGCATGGAACGATGTAATAGCTACAGAAAATGGAGGCTGTCAGCTGATGGTCTAAGATCGTCATCGGGAGGATAAAAGGAGGATATCTATTTTAGCTAGAATATGGTTCAATCTGTTTTGAGACACTTCAATTCTAGAATCATTGTTTCTTTTTCAAGTCACACTGCACAGTGGGAGGGGCAAGAGGGACTGCCCAGCTACGACGGTACAACAGGGGCCGAGCAGAAGGATCCCGGCCTTGGTGTCGTTTGGCCCCGGATTCAAACCCTAGCTCTGTCCCATTGGAGCTGTATGCCACTGGGCAGCTTGGTAATCTATAACCTGAGGATAGTAGGTCTTACCTTACAGAGATTTTTGAGAGGACCAAGCCATGAGAGGTTTCTAAAAAAACCTGAGGCACGTTGCCTCCTTGGTATCTAATAGTACAGCGTCTTCACCCAGAGCACAAAAAAAGCAATCAGTTAAGCCCCATAAGCCCCACCTGTCCCTGCTGCCCACTCACCCTCACCATGCTTGGGCTGCTACAGCTCTCGGCCCCATTCTATAATCAAGCTTCAGATATATATCAGGCTGGGCCTCAAAGCCACTGTCTTCCCCCTCTCCTCGCCAGTCCTCCCAGGGCCCCCTGCTTCACCAAAGAGATTTTTTTCCTGCTTACTTGTCAATTCCAGGGACGTCCTGGTAATCTTTGAGGAGCGTGGAAGGGGGCGGGTCATCTTGGCTGGGCTGGACTGTCAAGTGGAGGGATGGAAAACCAGAGTTAACTCTCATGGCCCATCCTCCCAGACTCCACTCTTCTCACCAACTCTATCAGAGACCCCCAGGGTCTCCAGCAAGGCACGGCTATCTGTGGGCGGTTTCTCCTCTGCCAACTCCCTGAGCATCTGCCCCCGTATTTCACGCTGGGAGTAGATGGCCTTTCCCAGCACCCTGTATTGTCATATCTCTCCCTGTCTGGCTCTACAGTCATCACATCCTCAATAGGATTCGGACTGAATGTGACTTCCTTTGAACCCCCTCCCCTCACCCCCAGTCTGATCTATAGCCCAGCACAGAACAGGCACTCAACAAAACAACTGCCCGCTGACTGCATGAATGAAGTAAGGGGGTTGAGAAAGAAACCCTAGCTTTAGGACACTTGTAAGCACCAAATTCAGGAAACCCTCAACCCTGGTGTCTGCAGCCCTGTCATCGCTTGGAGGTGAAGGAGAGCTATGGGAGAGAACAACCTGTCCCCTCCAGTCAGAGGGGACCTACTGTGCGCTATGCAAATAGCAATAAACACAAGTACATGTTACGGTTATTGCACACAATACTAAGGATGCTTTTCATGTGTTCTCGAGTCCGCTCAAATAGATACTCCTACACTCATTTTAGAATGAGACTGAGAGAGGAAGTGACTGCCCGGTATCATTGACCTAGTAAGAGAGCTCTTCACCAATCCATGTGCAGACTGCCTCGGAGGGGAAACCTTACCTGCACCTCAGAAGGGCAAGGTGCTGCATCCTAGGTAGGCTCCCCCTGCCTGGCTCACTTCCACTCTCACCCAGGCGGAAGGGTCCTGCTCCCGCGCCCCCGCTCCCCCGCCCGGCACGCACGCGGGTTTCAGGCTAAAGCTTTGTGAGAAGGTGGACGCGGCTGTTTTAGGACCTCGGGCCCTTCCCACCTCGTGGCTACCTAGCTGCCTCCCCGAACCTTCTGGGCACTCTCTCCTCCGCCCCAAGTTCTGCCGAGTCCCATCCGAGAGCTCCTACCTGGCTTCTGGATGGCATATCCGCGGGCGGCCGGGAGGAGACCTGTGCAGGAGAGAGGGTTCAGGCCATCGCCTCAATGGTCCAGCCTCGACTCCCTCCTATGGCCCTTCCTCCATGGCGCCTGCACCCCAGCGCCTAAACGCCGCCCCATTCCTCCTGCATCCCGCGGCCTGTGTCTCCCCACCTCGTCTCAATCCTTCCCTACCCACCACCCTTTCTCTCTCCCCTACCCTCCTCCTCCTCCTCCGCCTCCGCCGAACCCTTTCCCTACTCCTGCAGTCCCGGTTCTCAGCTCCTCACCGCGGGGAGGGGAGGGGAGGACCCGGGGGTCGGAAGGAAGCCGGGCGCACCCTCCCCCTGGCAGCCCGAGGCCTGGGGCCTGGGTCCGGAAGGCACTCAGTACCCGCCGCGCCGCCCTCAGCATGGTGGCGTGTGACCCCAGCGGGCGGCAGCGCCGTGGCCTTCCCGGTGCGGAGCGGGTTACATGGGCGCCGCCATGCTGGCTCAGGCTCGACCAATCGAGTGCAGCCGCGAGACCGGAGCAGAGGAGCGCCGAGCGGCTGATTGCAGAGGCGGCACTCGGTGATGACGTAACGTAGGCTGGCGCGAGCGGAGAGGTCCAGTTAGCGGTCGCTCGAGATGGGGGGCTTGGTGGTTGCCTGGCCGCGTTAGTGGTTAGTGTTGTGCAGTGCCGCATACACTCTACGAAGCCACTTTTCCTCGGGCACGCACCCCGCCCTGCGTTTCTGACCTCGGCCCCGATTATTTTGGGGGCTTCCGTGGGGTCTGTTTAGCCTTCTCTCCCGAACCTAGTATTCATCCCCCCTCCCCCGCAGACCCGCCCCCCCCCCCCCCCCCCCCCCCCCCCCCCCGCCTCCAAGTCCAGGACGAGGCCCTGGGTTTCAGCTTCCTCCCTGGCAGCTTCGTAGCCTGGAGGTTAAGGTCGCTGACTTTGGAATCAGACAGCTCTGGGCTGGATTCCTACCTCGGCCCTTTACTCGCCATGTGATTCTGGACAAGTCACAGCCTTTCTGGGTCACGATGTACTCATCCATCAAAGGAGTAGCAGTATATGTGTTTTAGGTTATTAGGATTAATTGAGGCAGTTGTGTGCGAAGCACCTGGTGTATAGTGAACATGCAATAAGTAGTAGCTGTGATAATATTTGTGAAATGTAAGGTCAAATCCAAATGAAAAGTAGGGAAAAGAAAATTTAATTCTCCCTGTTGCAGAAAGGAGAAAAGAATACTTGCTAATTGTGAATTCTTTCTGCCCTTTTGAAATGTGTGCACATTTTTTTTATTAAAAATATATTTTGATTTTTTACAGAGTGGAAGGGAGAGAGATAGAGCTAGAAACGTCGATGAGAGAGAAACATCGACCAGCTGCCTCTTGCACACCCCCTGCCGGGGATATGCCCGCAACCAATGTACATGCCCTTGACCAGAATCGAACCTGGGACCTTTCAGTCCACAGACTGACGCTCTACCGCTGAGCCAAACCGGTTTCGGCTGTGTGCACATTTAAAAATATATATATTTTATTGATTTTTTTTTTTACAGAGCTAGAAACATTGATGAGAGAGAAACATCAACCAGCTGCCTCTTGCACACCCCCTACTGGGGATGTGCCCGCAACCAATGTACATGCCCTTGACCGGAATTGAACCTGGGACCTTTCAGTCTGCAGACCAAAGCTCTACCACTGAGCCAAACCGGTTTCAGCAGTGTGTGCATTTTTTAAAAGCTAAGTAAGCCTCTTGCCAGTGTTACAACCCAGGAATGCCTTTCTCTAGGACTTCGGAGCCATCTCTTTGAAATGCAGTCATTAAGGAGGATAGTGCTCCTGTCTCCCGCCCAGTTTCTGTGGGAGGCAGGCTAAGAGCCTAACTTCAGCTAGTGCCTAGCACCAAATAGCAAACCTACATCCTCTTATAAAGACATGAGAAATTTATTTTTCTTTTGGACAAATGCAGTTAGCAAATACAGGTGACTACCCCATTGATCAGGTGACTTTAGAATGACCCCTGTGTGACAAATGGTGCTGTCAAGTCCTCTTGCTTAAGAACTAGTTATTGTTTATCTTGAGAAAATAGATGCATTAAGTCAGATCCGCTTGGCTATATAAAAGTAAAATTTCTTTTTAAATGTATTTTTTTAAAAATTGATTTCAGAGAAAGGGAGAGGGAGAGAAAGATAGAAATATCAATGATGAGAGAGAGTCATTGATGGGCTGACTTCTGCCTGTCCCACACTGGGGATTGGTCTGACCGGGAATCAACTGTGACCTCCTGGTTCATGGGTCAATGCTCACTCACTGAGCAACACCAGCCAGGCAAGAGTATGATTTCTTCTTGTCTTTGCAATCCCTTTAGCTAGTTGCCTGTGGTACACATCACATTCTGGTTTAATGCTCATTCAGTAAGAAAACTGGTTTCTTCATTTTCTGCCTTTGTAGAGGAGTTTCTCTAGGTTGGTGGGAGATTTCGTTTTGAATTATATTTTCCCAACAGAAGTTACTTTTTTCCTGAGGTCTGTACCTCTGTATTTTATTCTCTGACTCCCTCCAGATAACCCTGGCCACTATGTCCTAGGGGTCAGTTTACAACTCTCCACTAAAATGGAGCTCTCCACTAAAATGAGAATGGACTAAGCCAAGGCATTTTTGAGTCCCTACTGCCAGTAGGGTTCTGGTTGAATGAATGAAGGGAAAAAAAATCAACCAACCAACAATTGCAAGAGGTACAGACCCCCGGCCCCAACTGCCAGGGCCCTGAAAAGAAAAAGAACAGAGACTCATGCACACACAAGATTTTCTTTCTTTTTTAAAAAATATATTTTATTGATTTTTTTTTTTTTTTTTTACAGAGAGGAAGGGAAACGGATAGAAAGTCAGAAACATTGATCAGCTGCCTCCTGCACACCTCCCAGTGGGATGTGCCCGCAACCAAGGTACATGCCCTTGACCGGAATTGAACCTGGGACCTTTCAGTTCACAGGCCGACACTATCCACTGAGCCAAACCGGTTAGGGCAAGAGTTTCTTAAAATAAAACCAAATCAAACGGAACCATAAACCAGTTGAAGAGACTGAAATGACAGGAAAGAGGCACAAAAGGCACTATAGTGGACAGGCCGGGGGGCCTTTAAAGTGGGAGGCCCGGCCCATGGATACTGGGCAATGGGGAGGGATGCTGGGGGCCTCAGACAGCGGGAAACAGGGAGCCTTTCTGCCTTTCCTGGAACAGGGTGGTTTTTCAGTGACAGGCTTTCTGACCTTCGCCTCCTCTCTGATGGCCCAAGCCTTTCAAGAGGCAGAGCCAGCTGGGGCATCCCAGAAAGCCCTAGAAGCTTTCTACCCCATGGACCTGGAGCCCCTGCAGGAGGGGGAAGTCAAGCAGTGGCCCAAAGACGCAGTCATCCTCCTGGTTGGGGACTAGAGGCTCCGGGGACCTTAGGGGGCTGGTCTGGAACCAGATATTCTCATAGATCTTGGGGCTCGGGGTGAGGCCTCCCAAGAGGGGCTGAGTGGAGTCGCAGCGGATGTAGTCCACTGGTCCCGAGCCGGTGGGGCTGCCCATCACTTTCCCGTAAAGGACCTGGTCGCTGTTGCCTGACTGGGCCTGGGGCTGGATAGTAGATGCTCTTGGGTCCCCCTGGAGCACATAGGCCTGGACCAGGGCGGGAAGGCCACAGGTTCCTGAGCTCTCCTGGGCCTCCCAGGGCCCTGGCTTCTTTTCCTCCTCCTCCAGCACCGTGATCTTGGTGATGGGTGGCATGCTGGTGTCCCAAAGGCTGGGCAGCTGGTAGATCTCCTGGACACAGGACATGGGGTGAGGGCATGATTCATTTCAGATGTTCACCCCAGCCACTGTCCCTTCCTGAGCTGGGGACCTTCCTGCGGCTGTCTGTTGAAACTCAAAAGATTTGCACCCGCAAAAGCGCCTCATAGGTTCGTGTGGTGCGCTATGTGCCATTCAGAATCGTCTTGGTAAATCTCTGCAACAGTTCTGTGTGGGATTAGTCTCCTTTCACAGTGGGATGCCTGAGGCTTTGAAATGGGCAGGGCTGGGATAAACTGGGCAAACTCAGGTCTGCTTTACTGCAGAGGGAGTGGATCTTGCTAGAAAGTGAAAGGAAGGCCTGGGTATTCATCCTCAGAGGGGCAGCTCTTCACTTTGAACGTGGGTCCACACCCCCCCTGTCCCATGTCCCTCTTCCTCTGAGTTCTCACCTCCGTGGGGGCGCTAGGCACCCAGGAGCCCAGGCTGCTGTGGGCTGGGTCTGGGACACTCGGCCAGAAGGAATTCTTCCTGCTGTAGAAGGGGGGGGGGCAGGTAAAGGTAGGGCCAGGCAAGCCCTCCATCTTTCCAGTCGGTCTCCCACCCATCCCCCACAGCGGGAGGCATGGCTGCTCAGTGCAGAGAGGAGAAGGTGGGGGGCCTGACTCCCAGACACGGGCCCTGAGGCCTGAAAGGCTGGGGTGACCTCCTGGTTCATGGGTCAATGAACCAGGCAGTTCCTTGTGGGGAGCGGTATCTGGGTGTCAGATCTCTCGACTCACCTGGGTCGGCAGCAGAACCGGGCAGCCCAGCAGAGGCAGATGAGCGAGAGCAGGAGGCCGGACAGGCCCAAGAAGATGTGCAGCTCGAAGTCCCCTGGGGTGAGGGGAAAGCCAGGAGAGATTAGAGTGCATGCGGGTAAGGCTGGTCCTCCTCTCTCAGAGTAGGATCCATGGGCAGGGCTTGGTCTCCTCCCTCGGACTCTAAAAATGGAGAGCTTTGGTCTGAGGCATCCTCCCAACAGCCTTGTCTGGCCAGCCCCTTCCTCCCCTTACCTGGGGCCAAGGTCATCAGGGTGAGGCTTGTACTGTTGGTGGCCCCCACCCGGCTGGCAGCCATGAGGTGGACGTGGTACAAGCTGGCAGGCTCCAGGCCGGGGAGGACAAACTCGTGGACAGAAGCATTAAGGACGGCGGCTGGGAACAGAGGAGAATGGTCAGCCTGGGCCCCGACGCTGAGGCTCCCTCCAAGCCTGCTCCCTCCCGGGCGGTCTGGGGCTGAGGAAAGACTCACAGAAGGACTGGCCCTGAGCATTGGTCCAGAAGATGGTGTAGTGGGAAAGAGGGCTCCTCCCCAGCTCAGGGGCTGGGGGCAACCACTCCAGCTGGGCCCAGGTCTTGCCAATGTGCTTTAGATGCAGCTCTGGGGTGTAGGAGGGGGCTGCCGGGAGAGAGAGGTGCAGGTTGACGGGGGCAGGGGGGAGAGCCCCGCTGGACTTCTCGCGGCTCCTCAGCCCCAAGAACTGAGACATACAGCGACGTGGGTGACACCAGCGTCCGAGGGGATGCCCATCCAAGCTTCATTTTCTCAGGGACTTGGACCGAACCCCATCTACTGCTAACAAGTGGCCAAGTGAGGATCTGAACCGGGTTCTCTCTGACTCCAAAGCCTCACTCCCGGATTTCTACCAGGCCTGATCTTGTCCTACTCACTCTTCGATTTCTGCCACTCACTCTCTGAGTCTATGCCAGGCCCTCTCTCTATTTCTACCTACCACACGTGACACCTTATTTCTGTAAGGACAATTGACTGAGTTTTGCCAGACTTGTTCCCTGAATTCCGCCAAACTCACGGCCTAATTTCTATCACCAAACCACCTGACTTCTTTGTAGCCACAGGGGTCCAGTGTTAGCCAGGGGTGATCTTAGCGGGGGGGTCGGGGGCTGGGTTGGGGGAACCCTCCTTGGGCCAGAGGTCGGGAAGAAGGAAACACTTCCTTCTGGTCCTGGTGGGTGGGACCTGGGCAGGCCTTGAGACAGAGGAAAGGGGATTCTGAGAAGGGCCTGGTGGCTGACGAACCCGTCTCTTGGGAGTAGGCGTAGATGTGCTGGGAGGGTCCCGTGGTGTCCTGGTACAGGGCGGTCACGGTGATCTCGTAGAGCTGAAAGGGCCGGATGTTCTCTGTGGCGAGAAAACGGGGAGGCACCCTGCTGAGGGGCAACCTCTGCTGATGATCAGGAGCTAACCCCAGACCTCTAGTTGGGGCTAACCTGGGCCAGGCCTCTCCTTCAGGTCAGTTGGGAGGGGTAAGGAAGAAAAAGGGGAAGAGAGAGCTAGAAAGGTGGCACAGTCAGAGCTGTAGCAAGAGAGGATCCAGTTAGACTACAAGAGGAACTTCCTGATTCCGAGGATATAAGGTGAGAGCAGTGAAGGACCAAGAAAAGACTTGGGGATCTGTTTGTCCGGGGTGGTTCAGGTCGCCCCTGGCCCACTGCGTCCCGTCTCCCAGCCCTGCCCACCCGAAGCCTGCCTCACCTTGTAGCAGGGTCCCTGCAATGCTTCCATTATGCTCCATTTTCCAAGTCATCTGGCTGCCGCTGGGGCTGGGGGGCCCAGGGCCCCATTCAATCACATAGCCCCGAGGCGGAGGGCTGGGGGGTTCCCAGCCCACCCAGAGGTTGTGAGGGTCTCGGGCCACGGTGTGGAGTCTGCCCAGGGGTGGGCCTGGAGACAGAGCAGAAGATAGGATGAAGGTGAATACAAATGCAGGCTCTAGAGCCCGAAGCCTGGTCCCAAATCCTGGCTTTGCTACTTAACAAGTCAATATCTGAGCCTCAGTTTCCTCATCTGTGAAATGGAAATGATGATAGAAGTTCCTCCCTTATCGAGTCTTGGGGCAGAAGCGATGAGATGAAGTGGAACTCGTGTAGAGTACCGCTTGGTAGTGACGAAAGCTAACACTATGGCGTTCTTGGTGTGTGCTAAGTAGAGTCCTTGATGTCTGCTAACAGCACTACCACTGTCCCCATCTTATCAATGAGAAAACAGACACAGAGAGGTGAAGTAACATCTGAGGTATATATCTAGACAGTGGGAACATTAGCTATTGTCACTGTTAGTCACACCTGTGAGGACCCATGTTCAGGGGAACCTGGGGGTGGTGGTGGCTGGTCCCTGGAGAATGGCCAATTAATTCAGGGACCATGTTCCAGTTGGAAAAATGTAGGGCTTTCTCTGCCATCTTCCTTGGCAGAATGGACTGTGTGTGTGTGTGTGTGTGTGTGTGTGTGTGTGTGTAGGCATCACCATTGCTAACCTGGTTCTGGCTCATGATAATAATAGCTAACACATACTGAACAGTTACTATGTGCCAGGCACGTGGATTAACTAATAATCTCCACAACAGCCCTTTGAAATAGGTGCTCTATCATCCCCATTTGCTACCGTGTTTCTCCAAAAATAAGACCTAGCACATGGAAAGATAAGACATCCCCTGAAAATAAGACCTAGCGCATCTTTGGGAGAAAAAATTAATATAAGACACTGTCTTATTTTCGGGGAAACAGGGCAGATGAGTAAACTGAGGCCAGGGAGGTTAAGTAACTTGCCCAGGTCACACCGTTATCAGGTGACAGGTCTAGATTTGAACCCAGGCAGTCGAGCCTTCACATGTCCATGCTCCACCACCATGCTGCACTAGCTGCCGGCCCCTTTACCTGTGCTCTCCAAGAAGACCACTGGGGTCGGGGGGGAGGTCCCGGCGGGGTTATAGGCCACGAGGACCACCTCCTGGACTTCTGGAGGCAAGTGGAAGGTGCAGTTTAGCTCGGTGGTGTTGCAGAGGGGCGGGATTGCCCCAGCCTGGCCCGAGGCTCTCCAGGAGACCAGGTACCCTTGGATCTGCCCGCTGTCTTCCTCCAGGGGCATTGGCTGTGGTGGGCATAGGAGGAAAAAGATAGGGGGATGCACATCTCATCTTGAGTGTGTGGGGGGGGAGGGTGCGCTTCTTGATGGGGGGGGGGTGGACCACAGGAGCTGAGTATCCCTCCACACCCAGGAAGGCCAGCCTTCCTCCCTTCCTCTCTTCCTTCCTCCCTCTGTTGCCCTGTGACGGGTCCCAGGAGGGAGAGGAGGAAGAAGCAAGTTGGTGTATGCAGCAGGCACTTCACAAGGAGTTAACCCTTTGCCATAGGTGAGTCCTGCCTTAGTATGTGCCAGGTAGATTCTTCAGTGTCTGCTAACAGAGACTTCTCCAGAAGTCTCCAAGGCACATGCAAAGTGCATGCAAATCACACACAAATGCATCCACCCCACCCAGAACTAGTGGAGTCCTGAGCCCCGGCTCACAGGGGTGGCTTCAGAGAGTCACCTTCCAGAATAGCTGCGTGTCCACTGTCCTGCGGTCCAGCTGCCTCTGCCGCCACCACGTGTCCAGCCTGACGTTGGGGACTGTGGATGGAGCGAGAGGAGGGGGTGCTGGTCAGGGAGGGCTTAGGAGGGGGGGACTGGGTCCTGACGGCTTCTGCCAGCCCCTCCCCACCAGTTTACCCCGTTGCGTGCTGGTCAGTTCCAGGCCGGGGCTCCAGTCACTCCAGTGGCCGGGCAGGGGCCAGCGGGTGCAGCGCATCTGCAGGGTGTAGGTGGTGGATGGGAGGAGCCCGCAGAGCTCATGATGAAGGGTCTTGGAGGGCAGGGGGCCCACCTGGGGGAGGAAGGCGTGGCGCTGAGCCTGGATTCCTGTGCCCTTCAGGGCCACCCCCACCCCGGGCTCTTGGGGTTGCCCTCCACCTCACCAGGGTCCAGCTGGCTCCCCCAGGCTGAGGCTGGTGGCGCAGCTCACACTTCTGGTCTATGTACAGGGTTGGCTTCCATGACTCCCAGTGCAACTGTAGGCAGCCTGGCTGGAGTGGAGCCACCTCAGGGCTGGGGTCCAGGGCCCACAGGGTGGGGGGCTCCAGTTTTACTGCAGGGAGAGGGGTTGTCAGGTCCTTTCCCACCCCATCGGATAGGCTGCCTTAGCTCCCTCTTCTCCCTGTATGTGGTTCCACTTTTCTCCCTGGGTCTCCATCCGAGGGGCCTTGTGTCTTTCTTGCTCTTTCTCTTCATCTCCATGCTACCGCGTTTCGGCGGGCCTGTCGCTGTGTCTGTGTCTGTTTCTCTCTGGGTCTGTTCCACACTCTCACCCCAGGGTGCACTGGTTGTTCCCAGAACACTTTTCCTCCACAGACTTGGATGCATTTGTGTGTGATTTGCATGCACTTTGCATGTACCTTGGAGACTTCTGGAGAAGTCCCTGTGAGCAGACACTGAAGAATCTACCTGGCACATACTAAGGCAGAACTCACCTATGGCAAAGGCTTAACTCTTTGTTAATAGTGTCTTGCTCCTTCATTTCTTTCAAGGATCTTTTCAAATGTCACCTTCTCCGTGAGGTCTTCCTGACCACCTTACTGGAATAGCACCTGCTCCCCACCCCCAGCTCTCCCCCGCTTCTCCGCTTCCATGTCCCCATCACGCTTATCGTCAGCTCTCTGCCTGTCTTATTTATTCTGCCCACTAGAAGGTAACATTCCAGGGCAGGGTTTTTGCTCTTTTGTTCTCTGCTGCATCCCCAGCACCCAGATCAGTGCCCAGCACCTAGTGGGCATTTTGAGAAATCTGCCGAAGGAACGAATGAGTCTCCCTGTGTCTGTGTTTCTTCCATGTTTGTGTCTCCATAGCTCTGTCTCCAACTGCATCCCACCTGGTCTCCGTCTCTCTCCTCGTCCTTCATCCCTAGGTCTTCCAGTGTCTGTCTGTCTGTCTCTGGGTCTGTGTTTCCCTCTCTGTGCCTCTCTGGGCCTGCCCTTTGTGGGAGCCTCTTCCCCCGGCCCCCGTACCCAGGGCATCACCCACCAACGTCCATGGGATCCAGGCACAGCTGCGGGGACACGCTGGTCCCCAGCACGTTCTCCGCCTGCACCCAGATGCCCATGCTCTGGTAGAGCTGCAGGTGTCTGCGTGGGATGGAGCAGCGGCTCTGCCCGCCCTCAGGCACGCAGTCAGGGATGGCTTCCTCCTGGTCCTGGCAGTTGCCCCGGCTCCTGCCAACAGGCCAGGCTTGGGTGTCAAGCAGAGGAAGAAAGCGAAGTTCCCTTCTCCCTCCCGTCTTTGTCTCTGTCTCCCTCATTCCCACAGTCCTACCCATGCCCCACCCCACAGTCCTATTCATGCCCCACCCCACAGTCCTACCCATGCCCCATCCCAGGAGTGGGGCTGGAATAGAGACCTTACTCACTTGAAGCTTTTTAGGGTGAAGTTGGTAGTCAGGTGGGTGTCACGTCCTGGCTCCCACTGGCAGTTGAGGCTCTCGGTGGTGAGGTTCATGAGGCAGGACAGGTTGTGGGGTGCGGCTGGCGGGTCTGTGCACAGGGTGGGAAGAGTGAGGGCTTTGGGTGGAACACTCAGATAGCTTCCACTGGGACCAAAAGGCTTGTTTCCCTGCTCTGGGTCATTCCCTGCTCGGGGGCCATGTTGTTTATTCGCCTGTCTCCATGCAGCTGGGGTGGGGACAAGTGGTGGTGGTGAGGGGGGCACTGAGTTGCAGGCATGCACAGGGTCAGGCCTCACAGAGCCTCAAACCCCTCAGCTCCACCCCCTTTCACAGTGACAGGCAGGGTCTGGGTTCACTCTGGTTCTGCCACTCATTAGCTATGTGATCTTGAAGTCACTTAACGGCTCTGTTTCCTCATCTGTAAAATGGGGATAATGGTAATGTACCTGCCCCCAGGTTACTGTGAAGGGAATGACTTATCTATGTACTTATCAGAGCACTGTTATTGATTCTTACACAAAAACCTTGGTCTGTCTGTTTGTTTTTTCTTGGCACAGACTCCATTCTTTGCAGCTTGTGCAGAAGGCTGAGACTGGGGAGGGGGAGAAGCTGGGAGCAATTCCAGTTGGTGGAGATTGTCTTCTCTGGACACAGCCTCCTGTGGCTGGGGAGCTGGGCTTACTCGGTGGCCATACTGAGTTACTACACTGGTTCTCAGGCCATACTGCCTGGTATAAATCTTTGCTCCATCTTATTAGTGTGTGATCTTCATTCAGCACATTACTTACCCTCTCTGAACCTCAGTATTCTCATCTGTAAAATGGGGCCAAACAGCACTATCCACTGGTAGGGAAGATGACCTAATATCGAGCCCATAAAATGCCATTGAGCAAGAGCTCCAGGAAGAGTAGTTCTTATTAGTAATTTTTTTTTTTGCGGGGGAGGGGAGGGGAGGTGCCTTGGAGGCAGAGCAGGAGACTTACAGCCTGCCTGCATCTCAGCCTGGTCCAGGATCTGCAGGCTGCTGCCCCAGCTCAGACAGCAGGAGAGAAGGGCCCGAGGGTCGTTGAGGTGGGGCAAGGTGATGGTGGATTCCAGGGTCCCATCGGGCAAGCGCTGCTGCCTCCCCCCGGGCTGAAGCTCTGTGCCCAATCTCCACACAATCTGGGACTCTGGATCCAGGTGGCCGCAGGTGGTCCTGTTGATGACGCAGGAGGCCGTGATGGCGTCTCCCAGGCGGACGATGGGGGCTGAGACGCTGATGCGCCCGCACTGCTCCAGGCCTGGGATGGGAGAGAATGGGGCCGTGAGTGACACCGCCTGGCAGAGCCAGGCCATACGCTAGGCCTTTGTACTCTTCGACTCAGGGCCTCCCCGAGCCTAAGATGGGGGAGCTGGAGTGGGGTGCTGTGTTTGGGACTGTGAGAGGGACTGTGAGAGGGGAGGAGACAGAGACGGTGGTGTGTGCAGAAAAGTGTATCAACCGGCTGTGCAGGGAAAAACCCGTCCTGATCTGTAGTACGAGCTGCTTTCCCTGGTGGAATATTCCCACCGCGGCGGATGGCAAGCTGCCAGTGTGACACCCCGAATGGGAACTTCGGGAGAGTTGTGCAGTTAGCGTCTGCAGGCCGGCTCGGCACACCACCGGCCCCAAGCGTGGCGAAAGCGGTGCTGAGAATGATAAGAGCCCCGCAGCTGCAACCACGGCCGCCTTTTCAGAATTCAGACCTGGTTGTTTCCGCACCTCGAGCTCAGCGCTGCAGTGGCACGTGGCTGCTCCGAAAGGCAGTATGGTGGACAGGGAGGACCGAGGCTGTTGGAGCTAGACTGCCTAGGCTTAGAGCCCGGTCCTACTGCTTGTTAATTATGTGACCCTGGTATGAAAGCATTGGGTGTGATCACGTATGTAAGGCACTCAGAACAGTGAGTGTTTGCTGCCAGGATAAAGACTCAGAGCCTCTCACAGCCCACCAGGCCTGATCCTGCCTAATCCTCCCACTTCCAGTTCAGACTGCACTCTCTCAGCTCTGGTCACCCTGGCTTTTTGCAATTCCTTGAAAATGCCAGGCTCACCCTAACCAGTTTGGCTCAGTGGGTAGAGTGTCGGCCTGACGACTGAAGGGTCCCAGGTTCGATTCCGGTCAAGGGCATGTACCTTGGTTGCGGGCACATCCCCAGTAGGGGGTGTGCAGGAGGCAGCTGATCAATGATTCTCTCAGTGATGTTTCTAACTCTTTATCCCTCTCCCTTTCTCTCTGTAAAAAAATCAATAAAATATATTTTTTAAAATGCCAGGCTCTTCAATATCAGCATCTTTGCACCTGCTGTTGCTTTTTGAGGGGCTCTTTTCCTCCCACCTCTCTTTCCCCTGGTTGACATTTATGCATCTTGGATGTAACCAGACCAGGCCAGGGTCACAGCGCAAGTTTGTGGGACTCCTGGCACTTCCCGGACGCAGAATTTTGGACTGGAAGGAGTCTTGCAAAACTGTTTACTTCAAGGCACCGCCCGATGCTATGTCTTCTTCAGCAGGGCCAGGGTCCCTGTTTGTCTTTGGCCTGCCAGCTAAGAAGGGCATGTATATTTATATTTTAATTTTAAAAAATCTTTATTGTTCAAATTATTCCAGAGAGGAAGGGAGAGGGACAGAGAGCCAGAAACATCGATGAGAGAGAAACATAGACCAGCTGCCTCTTGCACACCCCCTACCGGGATGTGCCCGCACCCAATGTACATGCCTCTGACCGGAATCGAACCCGGGACCCCCCCAGCCAGCAGACCGACGCTCTGTCCACTGAGCCAAACCGGCTTTACATTTTTAAAGGGTTAAAACAAACAAAACCAAAACCCAAATAAGAACCTGCCGCAGAGACTGCCCGTGGCCTGCAAAGCCTGAATGTTACTGTCGGGTGGAGTTTGCCAAGCCCTGCTGTGCAGCTGGGCATCAATTTGGACTCCCCCAGAGATGGGAGGGTCTTCACCTCTCAGGACAGAGTTTCCGCAGGTGGAGGGCTCTGCCTGGCCTTCCTTATTTCAGGATGAAACCTACCTCCTGGGGCTTCCGCCCTGATCCCTCTGCTGCCCGTGAAGACTGCACAGAAGCCAGAGGCTCCTCTGACAGCCTGGCAGAGATCAGCAGAAAGATCTGCCACCCTCCACCCCCGGCCTTTTCCAGGCTGCCCAGCTCAGTGCCCTCACCATTCCTCCCGGGGGGCGGGTTGCAGAAGTCCGTGATGGGAGCCCAGCTACCCTGCACCTGTGGCTCAGTCTCATTCTCTTGGGATTCTCTGGGATCCCCAGGGGCCGTGCGGCAGTGCGGGAACAGGCTTCTCTCCGCCGACCCTGAAATCTCTCCCTGAAGCTCCCCTCTCGCCGCAGCACCCGCCCCGGCCACACTCACTTCTGGGGAGCAGCAGGATGATCAGAGCAGCTCTGGCCAGGCTCCAGGTTCCCAGCCCCACCACCATCGTGCCAGCTTGCTGTTCACCTGGAAGCAGAGGGGCACAGTTAAGGCCTTGGACTTGGGAGTCAGAGCGGAGCTCAGCGCTTTTCTGCCGCAGTGCGGCTCTGGCTAGGTTACTTGACCTCTTTGAGCCTCTGTTTCTTTGTCTGTAAAATGGAGGTAACAGCCTATTCTACTCCACAGGGCTTTGAGAAGGAGCCCTGGCACATGGGAAATGACTGTAAGTGACAGGCACTGTTACTGTACTGCCTTCCAGAGAGAGCAGGGGAAGGAGCAGCAAGGAACAGCATTTCCTCCTTCCCTGGGTTTCCCCTCTCCCCTCACAAAGAGGAGCCTGAGACGCGCTTGCATGCGGGCCATCTATTTTAGGAAGGTCCCAGGGACAGAGCAAGGGAGTAGGGAGAATGAAACAGGTAAGAAGGGAAAGCCAACACAAGGACTGTAGAGAGCGCCTGGGAAGACACATGGGCATTTCTTTAAATTGTCCGCTGAATCCAGGGCAGTAGGCAAAGCCACGCCCTGGAAACACACTCTGCCAAAAGGCAGAAGTGTTATCAGCCTGACTTTCATTTCTGCCCAGATGCCTGGGAATATGAGCCGGGGCCCACCATAGAATTAGAATAATCTTCTTTGTCTTGGCGTTTAGTCAAACTTCCTGTTTTTCTCGCTGTATAAAATAAACATGCCGTATGGGCTCAGAGTCACTGTCTCTCCATCAGAAGAGGGCAGCGGTCTCACCCGGCCCCAGCTTTTTACTTCTGTCTCTGTGTCTGTCTTTTTCTTTCATTTTCTCAATCCCCAGCCGCCCCTCCTCAGGAACTGGACTGCTCTCTGGACACGGAAAAGAGAGAAATATTTACAAAGGACATGTCACCTCTGTGGACAACCAGGACTCAATCCTGCTGGAACTTTCCAAGGAGCCGTGCACATGCCTCAGAACTGTCCACTCCAGGGACGGTTTACCTTTGAACGGGAGGGAGGTTGGGAACACTCATGCACCGACGCCTGTCCCCATTGGTCTAGGGATGTCCCTTGAGGTATTAACTGCCTGGCACATCCAAGTTGCACATGCATGAGTGTGAGGCAGGTTCTGCCGGGTGAGTCATGCCAGAGGTGTCTGAGATGTTCCCCGGCAGAGAGGGACAGCTCCCTAGGGCAGCTGAGGCCAGGGGCTGTCAGGCTACACCTGTGGGAAGCTGGCTGCCATGGCAATGGCTGGAGGGAAAGGTGGGACACACCAGGGTGGTGTCACCCCCCCCAATTCTGGGCACAGACCTCTGGAAGTCTTCTGGGGCCAGGCGTCCTGTAGTCACGGCGACAGTGCCTGGGTAGAGGGAGCATTGGTTCCAGTCTCAGGAAGAATGCTGGGGTGGGCTTCCACCTAAACCTCCACTTGATCCCATTGGGGGGTGGGGGCCAGACTCCTGATTCTCCAGCACTAACGGACACTTGGTGGGAATCGCTGACCAGCCAGCACGCACATTCACAAAAACATAGGTGGTGCCCCAGCAGATCCTCTGTGCTTATGAGGGCGAGAGCTTCTCTCCCTCCCACACAGAGGTGTGACTAACAACTGCCCAGATACCCAAGGGTCTTTCCGCTTGTAGGGGCCTTAAGAACCCCCAGGCTCCCCACAAGTATCACAGTAGCATGATACCAGGTGGCCTGCCCGCACTAGGACCTGGTAACTGGAGAAGAGCTGGATTTCAGCCTCCACCTGCCCCTCAGCCCTGTAGCTTTGCGGACAGCTGTTCAGAGTGCCCCAGTCTACCACTCAGTGATTTGCAACCTTCTTCCTAGACCACATCGGTTTGATTACCCACTCTCCCCCATCCCTCCTCCCACTCTTGCTGGGGAAGATTTAGCTTCTTTGGCCCAGGTTTTGGGGCACTGGTTTCCATCTCCATCTGCTACCCAGCCCTGCTGCCCCAGCAGGCTCAGCTATGGCGATGAGGGACCCCTTCACCACTGGCTCGTGCTCAGAGTGGGCCACCGACCCCCAAACCCCAAGAGACCTGTCATCCTTCCCCCTGGGCTGCTGGGTACTGGGACCCTGGCATCAGTCCCTGGTCCCCCACGGCAGCCCGGGTGCCTCCTCGCCCCCGTGGGTGAGAACTGGAGCCCGGGGGGACCGGGGCTCCTCGCTTGGGGTCAGTGTGCGGAGAGGTTGGGAGCCCAGCTGTGAGTCAGACCAGCTGGCCTGAACTACAGCTCTGCCACTTACCAGCCTTGTGACCTTGAACAAGTTACGTTCCGAGTTTCAGTTTCCCCATCTGTGAAGGAGGGATAAGAATAGCACCCTCTTCTAGGGGTGGTGGTGAGGATGAAACAAGACGACCCTGATAAAACCACCTGGTGCAGAGCCGCGGGGAGAAAGAGCTCAATAACCACGTTATTTTCACCACCTCACGGAGCACAGGAGGGCTTAGCGCCCCTCCCCCGCCCGCAGCCTGCGTGGTCACAGCCTCCTGGGATGGCCACCTTGTTTTGCCGGTGTCATGCTGCATGGCCTCAAGGCCTCATTTCTGGGTTCCCTACTTCCAGCTCCTTGGCACCCCCTTCCCCCCTCTCCCCCCAGTCTCCCTTTCGCTCCAGCCATTTCCGCTGGGCACTTTTGGCTCTTTCTGGGTCCCAGCACACCCGCTACCCCAGGAGCCCTGCACCACACCCCCTCTTTCTGCTTCCCTCTCCTCTCCCTCCCTCCACCTTCTCCAATTCCCACCCCTCTCTCCTGTCCTTTCTACTCTAGTTCACTGGGAGGTGTTTCTATGGCAGGAAGATGAGAGGGAGGAGAGAGCTGGGAACCAACAGAGGGAGGGGCCTTCCCAGATGTGGTTCAGAGAGAGAACGAGGCAGAGAGTGAGAAAGTGAAATTCGGCTGAATCCTGTTTGGCTCAGTGGATAGAGTGTCGGCCTGCGTACTCAAGGGTCCCGGGTTCGATTCTGGTCAAGGGCATGTATCTTGGTTGCAGGCACATCCCCAGTAGAGGGTGTGCAGGAGGCAGCTGGTTGATGTTTCTCTCTCATCGATGTTTCTAACTCTCTATCCCTCTCTCTCTCTTTTTTAAAGTAATTTTCCTTAAAAAAAATATTTTATTGATTTTTTACAGAGAAGAAAGGAGAGGGATAGAGAGTTAGAAACATCAATGAGAGAGAGACATTGGTCAGCTGCCTTCTGCACACCTCCCACTGGGGATGTGCCTGCAACCACGGTACATGCCCTTGACTGGAATCAAACCTGGGACCTTTCAGTCCGCAGGCTCATGCTCTATTCACTGAGCCAAACCAGCCTCGGCTCTAACCCTCTCTCTTCCTCTCTGTAAAAAAAAAAAAAAATCAATAAAATATATTAAAAAAAAGAAAAGAAAAGAAAAAAAAAAGTGAAGTTATGCAGGGCAGACCCAGACGATGGAGATAGACAGGCAGGGCAGTCGCTGGGAGTCGGGGAGCCAGGAGCCCAAGAGACAAGGATGTTGACACAGAGACGAAGGCACTTGGAGGCTGAGAAGCAGTCTGATACCCCCGAGAGTTTAAGAGTTTTAAAAAAATATGTTTTATTTATTTTTCACAGAGAGGAAGGAAAAGGGATAGAGACCTAGAAACATCGTTGAGAGAGCTACATCAACCAGCTGCCTCCTGCACACCCCCCACTGGGGATGTGCCCGCAACCAAGGTACATGCCCTTGACCGAAATTGAACCGCAGACTGAGGCTATATCCACTGAGCCAAACCGGTTTCGGCAAGAGTTTAAGATTTAAAGTCAGGAAAACGTGAGAGACAGAGAGAGGCAGACAGAGAGAGGCTTGAGCCCGGGCAAGCCAGAGAGGGGCTGAGGGGAGAGAAATGGAGAGGGAAATAGACAGGTGGAGACAGAGAGAGGTGGAGACACACCTCCAAGAGGCAGAGGCGTGAGAGGGCTAACCATGAGGCCCTTCCCTGAGCCCCGCTGTTTGCGATGCCCACCCCCACGCGGGACATCTCTGGGAAGAGAGACTCAGTGCTTAGGGTCCCTGGTCCAAGGGACAAACCTTAAAGGCAGGAGCTCTGGTCCCAGGCCTAGGGGCCCTGAACGCTGGCACTTGGCAGAGTTGGGGGAAGTAGGGAGGTGGGTGGGGAAGGCCACAGCACTCTAAGCCCCAATCAAGGCCAAGGCTTAGCTCTCCCTGGGGGTCCCCTACTCACGCTGGAGCCTGAAGTGCCACCACCTCTGCCGGCCCGCTGCCTGGCCTCTGGGTATCTGCTCTCTTCTGCAGGCAAGTTCCTGAAAACAGCGCTGTCTGACTTCTCTCCGCAGCCTGTCGTTAATGGCTCCTGGCCTCTGACAGACCCAGGGGCTGTGGATTGCAACACCTGCCCAGCCTCCTTCCCTCCCTCGCCCTGTTGCTGCGGTCCAGGCAGCCCCTTCCTCCCAGGAAGGAGCCTGGGAGGGAAGCTGGTGCGGCTGGGCAGCCTTCCTGCCCTGGGGGTCTTAAAGGGGCTGGGGGATGTGGCAACCATGTCCCCCTCCTCTGGCTCCGGATTTCCTGACCTCAAAGCTCTGAGGCCCGGCCAGCCCAGGCTCCAACGCCGCTGGGTGCCATTCCCTGTCCCTCGCCTTGGGGAGCACTGCTCAGAACAGACCCTGGCTGGAAGGTTCGCTCAGCTCTGAGCCTCTCTTTGGCACCAGCCTTGGGGCCCTGATCCTCACAGAGCTCAGGGGCAGCCTCCAGGCTACAGGGCATTTAGTAATGCAGCACCTTCCTCACTGCTCCGCTCTTCACCGCCTATTCCCTGCCATTGCCTGTGGCCAAGCAGAGGAGAAACGGGGACTCTGGGACCCCAGAGGGAAGACCCGTGAGGTTCAGGGTCTTTAAAGGCTCGCCAGAACCTAGTCATGTTTATTGACAAGGATTCTGCTAAACGGACTTTTTTTTTAAAAATTAAAAAAAAAAAATTTTTTTTAGGGAGTGGAATAGACTACATCTTATTTTTCTCATTGTTTCTATCCATGATTTCTCTGCAATT